CCTGTTTCAGTAGCATTTTTGCTAGAAGTGACAGTGTCGTCTAATCCCATCACTACCCCGTCATTGCAGTGACCAATAACCACTTATTGCATATTTTTGGAAATAGATGCTGGTACAACTGGGAAGGCAGACAACCCTGCAAAACCAGGAACTGATCCAAGTACAGATAACAACCAGAATACAGGGGAGAGTAAGGACCCCAAAACACTGAAAAATGGTGGAAAAGGTACTCTGAGTGAAACCCCTGTCAGAGAAGTTGTACAAGGAGAAAGCAGCAAGGAAGTGAATGGAAACGATAAGAAACCTGTGGAGAGCAAGAATGATGAAAAGCCACAACCTGCGAAAGGAAAAAACGGAAATGGGAAGACTAATGAAGATGAAATAAAGAGTGCAGACAAAACCAGTACCGAGAGTAGCAGTAATGGTACTGAGAAAGGCGGAGGGGAAAATGCTAAGACAGATAGTAGCTCAAAAACTATGTTGGATAATAAGGAAGATGAATCTGCTGGGCCTGAAAAGAATGGCAGCGAAACGAAAGATGAAAAAGAAAATGCTACCATGAGGAAAGCCCCAAAAGTACCGCCAGAAGACAGGGGAGGTCATTCTAAGCAAAAAGGTGGTGGGACTGATGAAATTAATAACAACAAACAACAAAATGCAGATTCTGGTGCACTGGATGCTTCAAGTACAACTCAGAAGCTAAACCCTGCTGGGCATCTACAGAATGAGGCAGAGAGCAGCCACTTCTTTGTCTATCTGGTTACCATGGCGCTGCTTGTAGCTGTGCTTTACATTGCCTATCATAACAAGCGGAAGGTAGGCCTGCTAACCCCTGAGGTGGCTTCCTGGCTCCACTTCTATTCTTTTGTGAAACACTTGTGATAGTTGTCAGAATTACTCTGCATAGAGTTATTCTAGCGTGTCATTTTCTAGATTTTAACATTCTTTATTAAAACAATGTAGCTATTGTTATTTTGTGAAAGTAAATTCAAATTGTAAAAAGAAATGTGATGAATTATTAATGTCTATTTGGAAAAATGTTTCTCGTTAATCATTCCCCCACCCCACCCTGTTACAGATTATTGCCTATGTTGTCGAAGGCAGGAGATCAAGAACTACCAGGCGGCCAAAATCTACTGAGTACCAGAAGTTAGAGCAGAATGTAAGACCGGATTTTCGAAGATGCAAAATCCTTTTACAGTACTTAACATTACTTGAAATACACCCCCTTTCTTTGAATGTGAATGTACAGCCAGTAATTTCTCTGCAAGGAAAAGGGCTTCTGTGTGTGGTCTGCTTGTTTATTAAGATGTCATTGATTTTATTTTCTTTCAGTTTTAAGAAGGGGAAAAAAAAAACAAGTCACACACATTTGGAGAAACATGTCACTGCAGCCGAAGAGTGGAGCAAAATGGACCTAATTCTTAGATTTGCTATTCGTGAAAGATGCCTTTTTTCTAGATGAACTGAATATTCCATTTTTTTTCTCAATAGTTTTTCAGGTATGTTTTCCTCAAATTGCTTATTTTTGTATGTTTAGGGGGTATTCTTTGTGAAATATAAAACTAAATATATTTTTGTTTAATGTTGCTTGCTGCATGCTTAAGTGGGGAACAGCCTGGCCTTTTAGAAGGGGTTGGTTTAAAAAGGAGCAAAATAATCTCGCTACTTTCTCTCAGCTTGAGTGTCACTGAAAGACGGCTGTTTAACCTGTTCAGCCTGCCACTTTTGCATAAGATCCACTGGCTGATTATATTTTCTCAGGGTGCTTCTTTACCCAAAAAGAGATTGGACTTGTGGACTTTGACCGTGGCGTCTAAATATTTATGAATGTAATGCAGAGTTTTTATCAGAAGTTTCAGGAGGGCAACTGTGGAATAGTAATGAGTAGAAGAATTACCAATAGGGTCATAATGGTTTTGGGGATCCATTTTGTATTGCTGTGAGTTTATGACTGGGAAAATTCTTACATTTAGTTAAAAATATATGTTTAATCAGAGGTAATGCAAAGAACTTTTGAATAATATTTTATGTAAAGTACTATTCAGTCTTGGAAGCACTTGATTTAAAAATAAGATTGGCAGTAGATATATTGTAAATAAAAAATAAAATTATTAACGGATCAAATATTCAGATGAAATAAAAACAGGGAAATGTTAATTGTGTTGTTGCATTTTCAAGTGGGTTTTATATGTGGTATAGATATTGAGAGTTGGTTTTTAACTGAAAGTAATCCAGATCACTAGAACTTGCTACTGTAAGGTTATATCCCAGGCAACAAGAGTTTTGCATGAAATTAACTATTTTGGAATGCTTGACTGATCATGGACCAAATATGAATCAGAAAACATTTTCACATCCCAGATCTTACTGTTTTGCCACTATTGACATTTACCACTAATGCTGCTTTAGGATGATTTTTTTTGGTGTTCTGAAATAAACAATGGATTAAAAATATAATTTGTGTTCCTTTCGGGTGTGTTTATGTATATGCACTCTGCTGACTTCATGGTGTGCTAATATTTTAAGATGTCTGTAATCTAGGTTGCTTTTAATATCCCCAGGGAAAATGAATGAAATAAAATTGTGAGTACAGTATTAATATGTATTTGTAAATATAGGAAAATGCCGTTAACAAATGGCTCTACATTTTGATGGATTATGCTTCTTAGCCACCTTTTTCACATGTTAAATGTGTGCTTTTCTTTTTACATTTCCTTTTGTATATATAATGCTTGAATTTCACTCATAACCCCCCCCCCCACCCCCTCAGACACTATGAAGGAATAACTGTCTTGGTAGAAGGGAAAAATATATGCTGTATAAAAATGCACCATAAAAGTCACATGGTGTGTATGATTGTGAGAGATATGATTTGAAATTTAAATTGGGGGTGAATTGTACTCAGTGTGTTTTGTTCTTTTATCAAAATAAAATGTTTTATGAGTGAGCATTTGTTTATTATTTTGTGTTTATGGGCGTAAGTTTTACTTATTTTTCGCACCCAAAACAATGATTCTAGAGACACTTCACCAACCTTTTTGAAACTGAGAGCTACTTCATGGGTACTGAGCCATACGAGGGGTACCAGTTTAAGTTTAGGTCCTAAACTTCATGTATAGTAAACATGTTTTAAATGCTTTTTTTTTTTTAGATATTGTCATTTTCAAATCTATATAAATGCAAATGTGATTAAAGAAGAATGGCAACAGGATAAAATTAAATTTTAGTCGCTGCTCACTGGTGAGTTGTGCTATTTATAGAACAGGTCCGCGGGCGACTCATGTTGGTGACCCCGGTCCTAGAGGCTACACTAGCAGCCAGTGCTCGAAAACAGGTCCTGTTATCCGTTCATAATGTCTCTATTGCTATAGGGTGTTAAAACCGGAACCGGAAGTAATACTTGCATCAGGAACGAAAATAAGGAAATTACTTCCTGTATCTTAGCAGAATTTGACTAGTTTACTGCTTTTTCCTAAAACATTAGGAGCGATGTAGCCAGCAACTTTCTCCTTTATGAGAAGGATTCCGGTGTGGTGAAAGACATACCCGCAGACCCCAGCCGACGGCCTTTGCAGCCAGGTAACGCTCGCTTTCAGTCAAGGCGCTGGCTAAGTGAAATAGCTCGCTTTCTGTCTGAGGAGAAGTGGCATTCCGTTGTGGAGTTAGCTAATGTTTCACATAGTTAGATAAATAAACGGTCATAATAAACGCAATAACAATAAACGAGCATCTTGTTTTTATAAAGCTCCGTTAAGTGTATCTTGGTTAGGTAGTTATTGACCAGTATAGGTTACTGCTGCCTAACCAGTCAACGTCTTTAAAGCGTTAAGATGTCTGTTTCTACGGGGATTTCGCCTTGAATTAAAGAGACTACAAAAAGTTACTTAGAAACAATGCATTCATCTACCCCCCCCCCCCCCCCCAAATCGTTCCGACGTTTCTGTAAGAAATATTATTGGGTACAATGTTGTCCAACTAGAGCAAAAGTTAAAATGACAACTTGATAGATAAGCTCTGACATGCATTTTTCTATCGGTACCGAGCATTATCAAGCAGTTCAGAGAGCCGATGCTTCATTTTACGATTTAACTGTAAATGTGACATTGACTAACTATTAAAATCAGCGGAAACTATGCGTACAGTAATTACTTATACTTTGTAACCACTCGCGGGAAACGAAATTTTAAAACTTAAATCCTCATTTAACAAAAAAAGGTACAATTCATTAAATCAATTGGTCCCAAATTCTGCGCAAGGTGTAAATCTGCATTATTTCTTAAAACTGATGTATCAAGGACCTGTGATTTTGAAAGATACTTTGGTTGATTAAACAAGATTTCATGCTTATTCATTGAATAATAACTATGTGTTTGTTTTCATATTATTTGAATTGTACCATTCATAATGAATACTTCATCCTTCAGGGACAGTAACAAAAAGCAGCATTGCATTAAGCTGGTTACCAAGTCCAAGACTAGGAAACTCACCAGACTTTTTACCAGGGCTAATCCCTAATGAACTTGTTAATCTCTAAGAAACAGCATATATTTTGGTTTAGTGTAATGGGGGTAACAATGATTAGATAGATAGATAGATAGATAGATAGATAGATAACTTTAATAATCCCAGAGAGAAATTCTAATTTTCAGCAGCTCAATACCACAGTGGTACAGACATAAAAGGTTGAAAAACACACAGAAGAGACTGCAGAGTACAGACATTCATTAAAAAGAGAGGTACTGCCTATTCTAAAAGTGGTGTATAAATAGAATTGAAAGTAAATTAAAAATAAATAAAAGTATTAGTATGACCATACACTAAGTGAGATGACTGACCCACCATGCATGATATTAGGAATAAGTTAGGTAAGGATGAAGTATTATTATGACCATGCACTGAAATGCAATGAAAATTCAGGATCACAACAGAAAAGACAAAATTATGTTTGCTAATGTCATGTGAAAGGATTTGAAGGGCCATTGTTTTTAAACAGTCTGTAATATTTAAATGTTTCAATGCATACTTATTCTGGTTGCTTAGGAACCTTTACACTGAAAACAATACATCCACTCTGCTGAATGTACATCTCTCTTGCAAGTTGGTCTATTGTTCTTTCTTTCATTTGCATTCCATTTTAGCGTAACAAATATCAAAAAGAGGGAAGTGTTTGCATCAACATTTTTGATTTTGATGAAATTTGGTATGTGACTTAAATATTCCTTACAGAGCTAAGAAGTGTTTTTTGTTTTAAATTTTTTCCCTTTGAGGTTTAGCACCTTTTCTACACCCCGGGTAGCAAAAAAAGAGAGAGAACTCACCATGTTTTCTTATTCGCTAGAACCTTTTTACTATTGCAGCTACACAATGCAGCTATAGTTCCCTGGAAATGCCAAAACAGTTCCTTTTCATGGATTAAATTTAACATTTTCACAAATCTAAGTTTTTTTTTTTCAAGGTCAATGTTCATCCGGTGAGCCACATTTTTTACTACTTTTGGCTGTGAAAAAACAGTGAAGGGCCGTCAGTTTTTTATAAAGAAATACGTATGTATATCCACCACTTGACCTGTTCCTTGGCCCCCTTCATGAGATTAGTACGTCAAAAGTGTTTTAAGGCATGTGGAGAAAGCCAAAACATTTTCCACTTAATTGGGAAAAAAGTACCCTTTACCTTCCAAATGGGGAAAAAATATGTGTTATACAAAGGGGCTGTAGGTGTTACAAAACCGGAAGTTAGAAAAGAAAATCACTGAAACTACACACTAATCTCACTCTCTGCTAATATGTTTCTTTCATAAAAACAGCTTAAAGTGTACCTGAAGTGTACATAAAGTAAAGAGAGTCTAAAGAGAATTTATCCTTCGTCTTGCAGGATCACTGGTCAAGTGAACAGTTAAATTTGACCATACCATGAAAAAGTATTCTTGAATTGATCAATATGTTTCGTTGAGACATTGAAAATGTATCCGATTTCAATGGATTATTCCAGTGTGGCTTTTGAAAGAAATAATGACAAGGCATAGGATTTTCATGGAAAAAAATGTAAATGTGATGTTTCTGGTTAGAGAAATGAGAAGGTGAATCTGAAGGATATTCCGGCAGTTTTTACTGTTTCCTCCAGTCAATGCAGGCAAGTCAATGCTGGCAGTGTTTGAATCAGTGGGGATTTGGGGGTTTCTAGGACCTCCCCATAAGAGTTCAGGACTCCCCGCACTGGTTGACAACGTTTACCATTCAGAATTTGATGGTGTTAATGGCAGGTTTCCAGGTGGGATTAATACCTATGAGTATTTTATTGATGTGTTTTTTGTATCACGTTTTGGTGTTAAATCATTGTTCTTTTGGGTAAGGAGAATCCTTTCTTCATGCAATGCTTTTGGTTGTTGTGTAGGCAATAATGACCCATGCTTTAAAAACAAGCATGTATTATAAGAAGATTTAAGAATGTCACATTGTCTGGAATTATTTCCTTTACATCAGACCCCTTAAATTGACTTCTGAATGTACAAGAGCCTCTTTGTCAGTAAGCATTTTCATTTTTATTTTTTTTTTTACATATTTTTACATTGTGCCTGTGGGGAAATATTTAAATGACATATGTCATACCCCCCCCCCCCCAAAAAAAAAAAAAAAAAAAAACAACAACACTGTGCTCCAAGAGGTTAAAGCATCCAAGGTCCAGTAAAAGCCCAGCCTGGCTCCTGCCAAAGCAAATTCCAGTAGTGGAAGTGGAGACTGGGAAAGCAAGATGATACACATCTTTTGGTCATTCTGTTTGCACCACCCTGACATCTAAAGGTTTTTTAGGGTGAAATGCTAATGCTGTCAGAAATTAGTTATGTGCAAGATTGAGCCTCTTGATATAGGTACCAGTTACTATCAGTATGTCAAAGTAACAATATGGTAAAGCAGAAATGTGCAGTTAAATGTCACAGAGATAGCCAGCAACCCACTGTTCCATTATTAAAAAAAATAGGTTGTTGGGTCATTAATACTCGACCAGTGATGTGAAAAGTGTTTCCAGATTTTATAAAATTTAGCTATATTGCCTGAGGGACTCCATCTATTTCTCTCTATATGGATATTAAGTACAATTTTGTCAGAATGAGTGGAGTCTCGATTTATTCGGGGTACAATCAGCACTGGTGCTAAATCCCTATTATTTTTCAAGAAAGCAAATTTTTTGCTTGAAGTTAAAACAGAGGTCATCTTACATAAACATTAACAACATTAACATTAACACAATCAGCAAGTTTTTGTCAGAATGCTTCAGAGTGGCTCTATTAAATTTTGACCTTAATATATTGTTATGCGACACTTGTCAATATAGAAAAAAAAAGCTAAAATATATACAATAAGTGAGTACTGTTTAATGGAATCCCTGATTTGTTATCCGTTCCTTAAGACTGTACTCTATACTCTGTCAGTTGAAGTAATTTATACAGTGCTCGCCATGGTGACATTACAGCACTGGAGTAATCTATACAGTGCTCGCCATGGTGACATTACAGCACTGGAGTAATCTATACAGTGCTGCATGATGAGAGTACCACTGTCTAGAGTCGGGGTGAGAAATCTTATCCAGAAAGGGCTACTGTGTATGCAGGCTTTCGCTGCAATTCCCTGATTAGATTACTAATTAGAGGACTGATTGGCTGAAGAGTCCTCACACCTGGATTTGAACAGCTGACCTAAAGGTTGTCCCAAAAACCTGGATACACACTGGCCCTTTGTGGATAAGATTGGCCACCCCTAGTATAAGTCAAGGAACGCAGATGCATTTTTGGCTGGGTTTGTATATATGTAAATGACTTGTTTTTTCCCTACCAATATTTGTCCTTTTGGTTTCAGTAATACTGGAGGCGCGTCCCACAGCCATGCCTGAGCACACCGATACCAGCCTGCCCCCAGAGGAGCGGGTACGTGCCCTCACTAAGAAGGGCAGCGTCGTGGACGTGAACGATGACGTGCCGCCTCGCCGCTACTTCCGATCGGGCATGGAGATGATCCGGATGGCCAGTGTTTACACAGAGGAGGGCAACACGGAACATGCCTTTGTACTCTACAACAAGTACATTACGTAAGCCGTGGCTGTTGGGGCACGTGAAGGGAGCCATTGCACAGTTCAGGGGTCTGTGTGAGAGTATCTGTATGCAACTATTTGTAAGAAATGTGTATCGTGTCACGGTGTGAAAATGAATGAATCTTACCCTCTGTACCTTATCTGTAAAACAATGGAGACACTGGCTGTCTAAGAGCTCTTGGTGAGGAAGCAAAGGTTAATTTCTTGTGGTTTAATGTGCATGCCATAGTCCCCGATGCAGCATGACAGATGCAGTCTGATGGCTCGACGTGAAACCCACTCGTTTTCGAGCGTGTTGCCTTTTTTGCTTTCAGGCTCTTCATTGAGAAGCTTCCTAAACATCGAGATTATAAAACGGCCAACATTCCAGAGAGGAAAGAGACTATTAGGGTAAGGAAAGACTGTGCATCTACTCTCATAACATATCTTAAATATTGTTTCCCGCCCCCCAATGTATCCATCAATGTCCAATGGGATTCAATAAATATTGTACACATTCTTGAAGGGCAATATTTTAAGGGGCATATGTTTTATACTAATGCTGTCCTTTTAAAATAGAAACTTAAGGAGATAGCCTTTCCACAGGCTGAACAGCTGAAGAAGGGACTTTTAAAGCAATACGAGAAGGAATATGCTGAATATTTGCTTAAAAAGGTAAAAACAGCCACACTTGCCGGGGTGGATCTTGCACTGTGTCGCAGTTCTTTGTGGGTCTGGGCCCACATGTGTGACTGTGCTGCTGTCACGAGGTCTCCTTCAGTTCTCAGCGTGCTTTTTGTGTGTGCCTGCATGCGTGATCGCTGTTCGGCAGGAAGCAGAAGAGGTGGCCCTGGAGCGTGAGAACTGCAGGCGGCGGGAGCTGGAGGCGGAGCGGAAGCGCGTGGCCGAGATGCAGCAGCGTCAGCGCGAGCAGGAGCAGTTCACCGCCTTCGAGGAGATGATCCGCCGGCAGGAGCTGGAGAAGGAGCGCTTGCGTATCATGCAGGAGTTCAGCTCCCCCAGCGCTCCCCCGTTCGACGGCCCCCTCCTGCCCGGCGTCCTGGGACCCCCTCAGCCCTTCATCTCCAGCCCAACCCAGAGCCCTGGGGGCACCCCAGCCAACACGAGTCCCTCTGTCCCCCAAACACTGCCCCCTGCCTTCGACCGCGCCCTCAAGCCGGCAGCTCTGGTCAGCCCAGGGAACAGTAAGGCGCCCTCTACTGGACTATTAATACTGCCCAATAAAAAGTATTTTTACTGCTATGCTAAATTGCTAGTTTTTGCAAATCAATATGTAAAATGTAATAAATGTAATAATAAATGTAAATAAATGTAAAATGGGGATTTCCAGTGAGTCCCAGTAAATTCTATTGGAAAGCATATTGTTCTTTGTTCTCTGAGACTGGGAAATAGAAATTGATTGGGCATTCTAAGTAAATCTCAAAAAATCAAATCTACACTGGAAATGGCAAAGAAAAAGTTTGGGTTTCATGATCTCTTCACGGGACATTGCAGTGACAGAAAGGAATTTCATTTACAATATGCATGTTCACAAAATGTTTCTCTGTGAAAAGCTGAGTGTACAGTACCAGACAAAAGTTTGGACATGCCAAGTCGCATAAAAAGGAGTGATAGCGTGTCACATGACCTGCCCACCTGACCTGCCCACCTGACCTAAGCAATAAAAATGGTTTCGGAGTCGTTTGACCTAGAGAAAGGAAAATCAGCCAGTGAGTTCTCAGCATATTTGTGGGATCTATCTCCTTCACGACAGCTGGAACTCATCCCAGGAGGCCACCTCATAAAAATGGCTTAGAGGAGAATGTAGGGTCAGCTAGTGCCTGAAGCAATTGAGGTTAAGGGCCTTTTTGGTCAGTAGATCCATATATGTTGTTTTATAGTTCTGATGTCTTCATAATTTATAATATATATTATATGTAGAGCATAGTACAAAGAAGCCTTACTTAGAGTAGGTGTGTCCAAACTTTTGACTGGTACTGTGTGTAAGTAATTTATGTGATTTGTGTGTCCAAACTTTTGACTGGTACTGTGTGTAAGTAATTTATGTTGTTTGTGTTTCCAAACTTTTGACTGGTACTGTGTGTAAGTAATTTATGTGATTTGTGTTTCCAAACTTTTGACTGGTACTGTGTGTAAGTAATTTATGTGATTTGTATAAACACATAAACCTCTGGCAGGTTGCACTGCGGGGGAGGAGTGTGCTGTAGGTGTTTCCTCCACTTCCCACCTCAGTCCCATGTCTGTGCCCAGGTGTCATGGTGGATGGTCTGAGGCAGCTGTCTGTGCCTTCGGAGCTCTGTCACAGATTCCTGAAGCTGGCGGATGCCAATACGTCGCGGGGCGTGGAGACCTGTGGCATCCTGTGTGGCAGGCTGGTGCGCCCCGAGCCCGATCACACGCTCCATCTTGGTGGCCCCACACGCGTGCTCTGATGACTGACCTGTCACGTGTGTGTTTGTGTTTGTGCGTTTCAGACGCAGAACGCCTTCACTGTGACCCATGTGATTGTGCCCAAGCAGTGTGGGGGACCTGACTACTGCGACACCGAGAATGAGGAGGAGCTCTTTCTGATCCAGGATCAGTATGACCTCATCACCTTGGGTTGGATCCATGTGAGGCCCTGACCTCTTTTCCTATAGGTCATTTTTCATGTGGGTTCTTAAAGTTCTTTCAGGGACAGCTAAAGCAAATGAGGCAGTTCTCAGTTTCTACAGTCTGCTTCTTGTGATCGAAACCTGCTATATTTCATAACCCCAAATTAAATGTAAATGTTATCTTGATGGACATAAGTGTAGCATCTTAACAGGATAGGGGTTCTCTAGGACTGTGGATGCTTACCATCAGTTTCATGAAGGTGTGTTATTCATGGTTTCTGTCAGTACTGCTTCTAGAATATGCTCTGGAATGGCAGAGCAAACATTTGTTCAACATGTCGACAGTGTTTTTTTTTCTCCTGTCCTGTCAAGACACATCCCACCCAGACGGCATTCCTGTCTAGCGTAGACCTGCACACCCACTGCTCCTACCAGATTATGCTGCCAGAATCCATCGCCATCGTGTGCTCCCCCAAGTTCAATGAGTGAGTGCTGCCTGGGGGGGGGGTGGGCGTATCTGGGAGGAGGGCAGGGTTTGTCACCCGGGGTTTTGCTACAAGGATTCTGTTTGGCGTGGAATTCCCCAGCACATGATTGGGCAATTCAGACGTCCACAGTATCATCCCAGGTCAGATGTGTATCCTCCTCCCTCACTTGAGTGTACAGAAGGTAGCAAATGTGTCCTCGGAGCTCATAATTACAACACGTTCTTTCTCACACCACGTGTAGGAGGACAATCGCAGGGTGTACAAGTGCTGCATGTCTTACTGTTGTCAGTTGGCAACCAGCAGATGCATGGAAACTCAGCATGAGGCTCTGGTGCTGTGGTTCCTTCAGCACCTTCTGGGTTGTCATTGTTGGACATTATTATTTTATGGAACATAGCTCTGTAGGGCATGGTTGAGGAATCCTTGGTAGTATTGGGGTTTGAGTAGCGTGAGGTGAGCATGATAGCATCTGTGCATGTGTTTGCACTTCTCAGGACGGGATACTTCAGGCTGACTGATTATGGGATGGATGAGATCTCATCCTGTAAACAGAAGGGCTTCCACCCACACCCTAAGGAACCTCCACTATTTTCTGTGAGTAGCACATTCCCAGCCAACCCCCCTGCACCCCTCCGCCCCTTCATCACCATCTTCACTTCAGTGCCGCCTAACCCCAGCTTTTTCCATGAACTCTGGCTGTGTAAACCGGGTTCCCCTGCTTTTTCTAACTCTCCCACTGTTCTGATGTCTCCCCCTGCAGGCTGGAGGCCACATCACCATTACAGACAGCAAAGTGACTGTGCTGGACCTGCGGTGATGCCCTCCTGTGCTTCTCTCTGAAGAGTTTGCCTTCTCTCCGTTTAGACCCATCAATGACAGCGATGTTGTCTTCCTTTTCCAAACAACCCAGCTTTATTTCCCCTGCTTTAGCAGTCTTGGCCAAGTATTTATATCTTGCTGTGGGAGCTTCAGCTCAGACCCGGACTTTCTGAATAGACTCCAGTCCTGGTATTAACACACATTGCCTTTTATTGTTGTCTCAGATGTATGCAGTAAACATTCTCACAAGATCCACAGAATGTGACTTAAAGTGATTGCACTTAATTTTCCATTATTTCACTCTCTGGTTTTGTCTCGCCTCTCAGTGATGAATTTGTAAGCATTTCTGAATCTTTCTTCCCTGTCAGATTTGGCTTTAGCGGCAGACATTCTCTCCTTGAGGGAAGTACATGTCCTTACTATATTTTCCACATTTAGAGATGTCCTTGAGACTGTTGCGCTTTCTGGTACTCTAACTGAAAGTTGACAAGAAACACTTTGTAAGCTACATTTTTGACATGGCATATATGCAAATAGATACAGTAAAGATCCATTTTTAGATACTGCTCACATTACAAAGGAAACATTAAGTGTTCTTAGACTCAAGCGAGTTGTATGTTGTGTACAATTCTGTTATGACATCATCCTATGGTTTTTGATGTGGCACATTCAGATTCTAATGATTAATGTAGTCTTAGTGCCTGCATTGCCAGGACTGCTAATGATGTCAAACTGGAAAAAGAAACAGCAGCTTTGTACAATACCTTAGTTTAAGGTGACGTCTTTCTCATAATTTTTTATTTTTATTTTTTTCCACAGCCTAGATATGTATTCTGTACATATGCGACATGCTTGAATTCCCTAACTTCTTGGATGGATGGAACTATTCTATTTTGCTACCTCCATGGTCTTAGTACAAAACGGGAACGGAACTTGTAGTACTCTGTGGTTAAGAGTGAAATCGTCTATTTCGCACCTTTTGACTTTATGGAAACCAAGAATATCAATGAGTAACAGACACCATGAAGAAAACCTGACCCAAAAAATTGCTAATGAACATAGAGGATCAGCCATATTTATATTTTATTTAAAAACTGCTATATATTTTTATAACAGTGTGGACAAGGTATTGTGAGTTATATAAAGGGAGATTTTTGTGTCAAACTGTCATTATAATAATTTCTTTGAGGCATATGACCCCAAAAATCTTCTTGATGAATGGTTGTGTCTGGAGTGACAGACATGGCATTTATTAAAGTGGACCAAATGAGGCAAACAAGAATGATTACCAATATATGAAATCATAGGTTTCAGCTGTTATTGCTGATTGTGTTCTGATGAGGTTTAAAACCTTGTCCTCTTAGATGTATTTTGCAAAATAACTATTATTGAATTACTATCAGTTAATTTTGCTATATCAAGCTGTACAAGGCAAAATGATCTGAATCTGAGTGCTTCAAGTCTGCACGTCTGAAGCAGGACACAATTAACTGGTATTACTGATTGTGTAATGTATGTCCACGGTTTTGGCAATCTGCATATTTATTCAACTGACATTTAGATAAGTAGAATGAATCATGAAATTATGTTTTTGAAAATCTCAACTAATATTTTACCTTAATATTAGTTTTTCCTTTTCCCCAGAACCGTTTATGTTTAGATTACACTTTTAAAGAGAGTAAATCTCTTACTGTCTTCATAAAAGTGACTTTTCTGTCCTCACTTAAATTCTTTTCTGTATTTTTATGTAATCTGGCATATTAACTTCCTCCATAAAACAGGAAATTGTCAAATATATCACATGTGATACCTGGTACCTTGTGATGAGGCGTAACTTATAATGATATTGTGATTGTCGATAAGTGTAACTGGAGCAAAACATAAACATCTTTACATGTTGGGAAAAAAAATCAGCATTTTTAATTTATTTTTTTTGCTAACCGCCTTTACCTGCCTTGGCACCCTGCTGTCACTGATGCCCCCTTTCTTTCCAAGCTTTAAAAAGCAGCTCCAATAACTATAAAGGGCAGATTCTCTCCCCACAGCATCCCGTGTGATCACCTGACCTCCTGAACCTGTGTGCTCATGCCTCCCTTGCTGTGTCTCCTTTCTGGTCGCCCTCTCTGATTGCACCCACTGCGGAATGAACGGATTACACCTGTCTTTAAATGGATCTCCCTGCACCCCAGTCAGACTTTTGGGCTGAGAACTTGTTAACTCCCAATCTCACCATTCCTGCAGTCTGCTTCCTCTGCATAAGGATGTTCCTCACTGGAGGCTGTATCTTTGCTCTCAAACATGAAACTCCCAAACCTCTAATTCTAACTTAATTTTATTGCCTGCTGCTGCAGGGACAGCAATTCCTGGCAGTAGTTTATCGTATTTGCTAAAAAGCAACTGTGGTCTGTCATCTCAGAAATACTACATCAGTGCTTTTTGATAGTGTAATGTTGCACGAGTAACAATTGTTTTAATTCACTACTTTTGCTGTTATCGTTACCATTTACTTTAATGTTAACGTAATAATTAAATGTATGGTGATAACGGGTGCTTTGAAAATGGCATTGGTGGCCAGGGGTTACTGGTAGAAGTCAAAGGAGGGGTTTGATGTAATTAACCTGATTTTTTTTGTCTCCTCAATGTATGCATTAATAAAGTATAAAAATAAAAAAAAAAAACGTTGTGTGCCTGTCAAACACGAACTGCAGAGAGCTGCCAACAGATTATGCATCCTGAAAGATTTCCTGTCTGACTTAAAGAATATCTAACCTGCAATGTGAAGTTCCTGCTAACAAAACACCATCTGTCCAGGCAGTGTGTTGTGATTGATGATTATTTGAGCTGAGTGGTGTATAATCAATTATCAATAGTTATTTTTAGTTATTTCTGAAATTACGTACAGCCGGATTTTATGTATACATTAAAAATCTCAGTGATGAGCATTCATGTACTACATATATATTTGACATACAGTATTTCATCAAGAAGGAACAGTATTGACGGTGCTTGCTACTCTTGTTTCAGATGGAATAAACTTAGACGAAATTAAATTCCGTAAAGAGATATAAAGGCGACAGGTTATTGCGGCTTCTGAAGGAAGCATTCAGCACCTCGGTCAGCTCACAGCGCCACGCCGTTGTTTTGATGGGGCGCATTGCGTAACCACCGCGCATGCGCACCGCTTCACCATCGGCTGTCCTCCAGCGGTCCACCTAGGTCGGTCTGGGCGATTTGCCTCCTTGCAAAAAATGGCAATGAAGGCACTCCGTGGAATGGTGAACGGGGCCATGAACGAAATTTCCTCCGCTGTAAGCGGAGCGAAGGTAACCGCGGCCAGGGAGCACGTACAGGCGGTCAGCCGTGACTACATCTCGCAGCCTCGTCTCAGTAAGTAGGGAGCAGATCCTGCTGATCACGATTTGCAGCACGATTTCATGAAAGTGCAATGGAGGTGATGTGTGCTTTATTTCTACACTAATCTATGACGAGATATCGTTAGTTGTTCACTAACGTGTTCGATTTTCCTATAGATGCAATATTAATATCTGATTGGAGCCGATATAGGTATTGCCGTACATTAAACGTGAGTTAATGCTTGCAGGTAGTGATCTCCTTATGCGCAGTTTACTGCTGCGCGTGAATGAGTAATGCTCTCAGTAATGCTTTTTTTTTTAACGACGCAATGTTTGCTGCACATTTTCTGCTGGGCATAGTGGTATTTTAGGAAAATCAACCAACGTATTTCGTGAACAGGGTTAAATCAAATCACTGAGCACGAGCCTCAAGGATCCCTTACGGCCTGCTAGGCCAATTCTGATGTATCTTATCCGATATGTTCATTGTTAGTCTGCAATTTAACTGTGTTTTCCCATGCTACAGTCATACTATCACACTGAAACGAGTGGAATTTATGGTGTACACAGATGGTGTTTGGATGCAAACACAATTTGAGTCCATGTCTTGGCTAACCAGCCCTGGTGATTTTTTTCTCTCTGAATCATGAGCTGTCAGTAATTGAAGGCTGCCAGTGTACAGAAGATGACACTTAAGGTAGCTTGGCCTTTCAACAGCACAGAATCAGCACAACAATCACCAAATAAATGTTTAAAAATTAAACCTGTTTCCAAATACCAGGGTGTATACACATACATAATTTTGAGGGATATATTGAGAGTAGGAATCTGTACGTTAATACTCTGGAACCGCTAAGGTATATTTATGTTATCATGTCTTTCCAGAAGGTACCATATTTGTGATGACTGTGATGTGACTGTGACGAACTGCCGGACCTATCCTGGACATAACATAGTCTTCCACATGATATTGTTTTAAGTCATTCTCCTTGCTCAAAGTGTTCCAAAACATAAGAATGAAATGAGGGTGAAGACCTTTGCTGTGACAAGGTTACTCAAAAAATACATTAATTTCTGTCTGTCTATGGCTCGATGTGAAATAGCAAGTGTGACTCAGGGAAGATGACTGCTATTCATTAAATTTACTACACCAGTGAAGCAGTAAAGTTGCTTGTGTGTGTAAATCTCCAAAGCACGTACATAACTAAGACATAACCCAGGGTCACTGTTTCTGTGTCAATATCACTATGTTGTTGAGTCTGGCTTAGTCCTGTATTCAGTATCCTACCAAAAGTCACATCAACTTGACTCAATATTATCTTGATAGAACAATCCAAACCATGAATTGCAATGCAGAATTAGATAAAAACAAGCCAACCCTTTTCATCTTATAGAAGGGTTAATGGAGCCACGCACAATAGTACTACTGATTTTCTACACATTGAAGACTCATGACTTTTGCTTAGCTCAGATGATGAATATCGTGATAGCCATGAGGCTGGAAGCAGTGCAGGTAATCTTGGATCATTCCAGTTGAGCCGATTATCATGAAAACAAAACACAATATAACTACAAGAACAGTCTACTCAAGCATAATACTTGGTAACTAACTAACTTTAATCCTAGCCACCTTCTTGTCCTGTACCTACAGCCTATAAGACAGTATCTGGTGTCAATGGACCTCTGGTTATCTTGGATCAGGTTAAGGTATGTGAATCTTCCATTGTCCTCGTCCAGTTTTACTTCTTTTGATACCCTAAACATTGCAACACTGATCTGTACTGCTCAATGATGCCTGTGCTGCTGTAATTACTTTGTATTTTGCTTTAGACAATGTAACATGAGACTTGTCAAGAATCAGTGTAGTGCAAGTTCTAATATTTCTTACTCACGTGAGTGTGAGTACCAAGATTCAAGAGTGTATTTGTCATATGCACGGTAAATAGTCAGTTCCACTATGCAATGAAAATCTTACTCTGTATACCCTTCCAGTAAACACAAAATAAACATAAAACATGGATCACTAGTACAAATCAATTAAGGTGCATACTGTAACACAATAAATATAGTTACAATTATAATAAATAATAAACATGATTAATATGTATACCTGTACTCAGTGCTTACTTTATAATCCCTGAGGGGAGACGTTCTGTGACCACCATTGTATGAAGAGCTGGTGGAGGACACTGACTTTGAACGGTGACACACACAAATTGATGTTTAACGATGATTACCTAAACATATAACATTGCAATATTTTCTGTCGATTCCTATTACACCGTCAGAAGGTAGAGTACCTTTGCTGTACCCTCAAGGATCTGCCAATTGTACCAAATAGCTGGAGGTAAATGTACTTCTTAGTCTAATTCAAGAAACATTCCCATGGTACAAACAACATTAATGTACCCCCAATGGTACAAAATTGTTCCTCATAATCCATTTCTGTACCTTAAAAGGTACAATTACCTATAGCTATATGGTACAATTGGCGTAGCCTTGAGGGTACAGCCTTAGAGATAAGAAAAGGTGCAACCTCTCACTCTTTTATTCTGATAGTGTAGTTATATTAAATTGTGAGAAGTACTTACTCTATTAGATGAGCTTAATGGTCCAGAAGGTACTACAAAAGTGTTAAAAAGATAAACTGATAGTCAAAACATCTCTACTGTGATGTGCATTTGGGCCTCATTCACCAAGTGTTCTTGTGAAGAAATTTCTTTGTAAAACCCACTTACGCACTTTTCACTGATCCATATGATTTTTAACTGATCCATATGAGGAAATGATTTTGTCTGATATAAGAATGCAATCATCGTTAGGTATGTGTTTCATCCTCTCGCTCTGTATGGCCAGGAAATGGGCCTTAGTAACACCTGGATTCATAATGAAAGTTAAGAACTGCGCATCTTGACCAGCAATTGCAAATCGCAAAACCCAAAAATGCGGTATCCCAATGCGATTTTTTTCCAAAACACCCCCCCCAGGTAATACAAGCAGCAATTTAAAAAGAAATATTTAATTTACTAGTGTAAGTGCATCAATTATCACTATCCAGACCCAAACATCTGGGAGTGCAGCAGCACCTCAGTGCCCCTGTTTTCGCACCCACGCCCAAAGCCCCGCAGCCTCATGCCCTTTTAGGTGGATTGGCAGGGCCTTTACTTATGCTAATTTGGAACAACTGGCACACACTTTCAATTTAAAAGGACAATGGGATTCAACATTATAAGAACACATTCACAAATAATTCTGCATTTTAAGAACATGATGCAGACCAGGGGTCACCAACCGTTTTGAAACTGAGAGCTACTTCATGGCTACTGAGCCATACGAGAGGTACCAGTTTAAGTTTAGGTCCTAAACTTCATGTATAATAAACATGTTTTAAATGTTTTTTTTTTTAGATATTGTCATTTTCAAATCTATATAAATGCAAATGTGATTAAAGAAGAAAAGCAACAGGATAAAATTTAATTGTAGACGCTGCTCACTGGTGAGTTGTGCTATTTTTAGAACAGGTCCGCGGGCGACTCATGTGGTCCTTGGGGGGCATCCTGGTGCCCATGGGCACCATTTTGGTGACCCCTGATGTAGACTTTTCTTAGGACCTTTCTCAAGAACAAATATAAGAATAAGAACGCCATCCTTGTATGAGAAGTCACCTCACTAAAGGAGCAATGGCTGAATTGCTGGTTTGCCTGTGGAATGTCTGCTCCAGTTCCCCAGATATGCAGAGATTGTTCACCTGACCCTTCCTGATGGCACAAAGAGGAGTGGGCAGGTACTGGAAGTGACCGGCTCCAAAGCAGTAGTGCAGGTAAGACTTCTCTACTCTGCCCATTGAAATATTTATATATGGATTGAAAAAACTACGAAGAGATTGTGGTTCATTGAAACTCACTGGAAACACGCCTCACAGGGCACATGTGATTGAAACCCTTTCTTCTATCACAAGTCTCTTTGTCCAATAAAAGCGTCAGATAAATTAGTTAAATGTAATGTAATGTAAACCCCATGGAACACTAATGTTAAGCTTTATCGGCATAAAATGCCATGATAGTGATTGTCTATCTTCATAAGTGATGCATCTGTTTTATATTGCTGTGTGGGCTGCTGTGTGCCTCAGTGGGTAAGGACTATGTGCTTGTGATTGGAATGTTGCCAGTTCGATTCCTCCTGGTAGCAAAGTGATGTCACCGTTTGGTCCCAGAGTGAGGCTATTAACCCCGAATGCTCCAGGCACTGGCCGACCCTGTTTTTGTAATTATATCTTGCTTTGGATAAAAGCTTCTGCTAAATAAGTTAATATAATCAACAAGAAGGAGAATATCATCTATTCTCTGGTGCTTCATATCAGTTTGGAGAAGAAACAAATAAAAAAAAAGATGCCTGTTTATTCCCCAGGTCTTTGAAGGAACCTCTGGTATTGATGCCAAAAAGACCAGCTGTGAATTTACTGGGGACATCCTTCGCACTCCCGTGTCAGAAGACATGCTTGGTAGGGAGGATATCACTCTAGAGCACTGAAACGCCCGTAATTCTCATTATATCTATGGATTGATTATGATTGACTCTGCAATAATATTAATGTGTTTATTTTCAGGTCGTGTTTTTAATGGTTCAGGAAAACCAATTGACAGGGGTCCTATGGTTTTGGCAGAAGACTACCTGGACATAATGGGTAAGGGTACAGGGTTATCAGAGAACTTAACGTTAAATGAATGTTCCAGTTGAAAAGCTTTTAACACAAGTTTGCATTTATAGTATATAGTAGAGTATTTTGATATGACACATTAGCTGGGATAAAATGACACATAATCCTGCTAATTCCTTGGAAGTTTTCTGACAGGATTCAGGAAACTTATTAGCTTGTGTCATACAGCCTTTCTAGCATAATATCGAAGGTGGAGGAAGCTAGAGGAAGTGGGTACAGGCCGGGCTAAGGCAGAAGTGCATATGTATTGAAATAGAAAATGTATGTATAAAATTTGCTTAGTGTCGTTGGTTTATCAAACATTACAACAGAAGGAAAACAAGAGGATGCAGAACTATAGAATTGAATATTTATATTTAATTGTATTGTATGAGTTATTTTCTGAGTAGTTATCTTGTACGTTGGAATTTTTACATTTATATTTACATTATATTAACTAATTCATTATTAATTTACAATTAATTAATTATTATCATATCAAGTTTGATGTTCATATCCATTAAATTTGTATGCATGAATTTGCTTTTTAGGAAATATTCAAAAACAATAAGTCACCTGAACTGTATCAGTTACAGTTAGGTCCATATATATTTGGACACTGACACAAGTTTTACTGTTTTACCTATTTATGGAAATATATTCCAGTTGAAGTTAAGGACATAAAGTGCAGACTCTCAGATTCCATTTTAAGGTATCCACATTCAAATTGGATGAAGGGTTTAGGAGTTTCAGCTTGTTAACATGTGTCACCCTCTTTTTAAAGGGGCCAAAAGTAATTGGACAGTTCACTTAAAAGCTATTTCATGGACAGGTGTGGGCAATTCATTTGTCCTTTCATTATCAATTAAACAGATAAAAGGCCTGGAGTTGATTTGAGGTGTCTTGTTTGCATTTGGAAGATTGAGGCGTGAACATACAACATGCGGTCAAAGGACCTCAGTATGCAGGCGAAACAGGCCATCATTAGGCTGCGAAAACAGAAAAAAACAATTAGAGAAATTGCCACAACATTAGGAGTGACAAAATCAACAGTTTGGTACATCCTGAGAAAGAAAGAAAGCATTAGTGAACTCAGCAACGCAAAAAGGCCTGGACATCCACGGACGACAACAGTGGTGGATGATTGCAGAATAATTTCCATGGTGAAGAGAGACCCCTTTTTAACAGCCAACCAAGTTAACAACACTCTCCAGGAGGTAGGTGTATCAAATATCCAAGTCTACCAGAAAGAGAAGACTGCATGAAAGCAAATACAGAGGGTTCACTGCAAGATGCAAGCCACTCAGAAGCCTTAAGAATAGAAAGGCTAGATTGGAAAAAACATCTAAAAAAGCTAGCACAATTCTGGAACAGCATTCTTTGGACATGTGAAACCAAGATCAACCTGTATCAGAATGATGGAAAGAAAAAAGTATGGAGAAGGGCTGGAACAGCTTACGGTCCCAAGAACACTACATCATCTGTAAAACATGATGGAGGCAGTGTGATGGCTTGGGTGTGCATGGCTGCCAGTGGCACTGGGTCTTTAGTGTTTCTTGATGATGTGACAGGATGGAAGCACCCGAATGAATACTGAGGTGTTCAGAGACATCATGTCTGCTCAAATCCAGCCAAATGCAGCTAAATTCATTAATAATACAGATGGACAATGACCCAAAACACACAGCAAAAGCAACCCAGGACTTTATTAAAGCAAAGAAGTGGAATATTCTCAAATGGCCAAGTCAGTCACCTGATCTCAACCCCATAGAGCATGCATTTCACTTGCTAAAGACTAAACTACAGACAGAAAGACCCTCAAACAAACGACAACTGAAAGCTGCTGCAGTAAAGGCCTGGCAGAGCATTAAAAAGGAGGAAATCAGCGTCTGGTCATGTCCAAGACTTCAGGCAGTCATTGCCTGCAAAGGGGTTTCAACTAGGGCTGGGCGATATGACTGAAAACTGTATCACGATATGAGTGTTTCATATCGGTCGATATCGATAATTATTGACATTTTTTATGACCCATTTAAAATAAAGACCAGGAGAAAAATATATTACATTTAAACATTTTTATTTTAAACATGTCAACAACCATGGAAAATAAAGTGTTTTTAAAATATGTGCAGTGTTTTGTAAACATAAATAAAACTGACGTAGACTGAGATACAGTACATCTGTAATATAAAAAAACAAACCTGATACAGTACAGTAACATTGTTTGAAATATAAAACCTGCAGAAATATGAAAAAGTAACTCTTCAAGTTATTCTTACTCTAATCATACTTGAAGTTGAACTATTCAAGTATATTTTCAGTCCAGGTTTTGTGCTAGCAAAAGACACATATGCAAACACTAACGAGGAAGACGCGATACGTAGGGAGCCGGTGTTCCGGAACAGGTGTTCCGGGCAACTCAGTTTCCCTATGTTTCCCCTGTCGCGCGCTGATTTGTACACGGTTTCGCTGTTGTTTTCATGTCTTTTTACGAAGCTCTTGAGGTAAACAAGCCGCATATTTTAAAACATCACATGTGACGATCTACTGTATTCGAATGTAATAATGTACCTGAGTGATTTTCAAACATCTCACATACATATTTGCCTAAATATTAGGAGAAACATTATTTCCTGACATCCAGGATATTTGGTTCCCCCCTGTTAAAACAGGTATACAGCAACTCTGGGCCTCGGTACTACTAACAATACAGTATTCACATGTAATAATATACTTGAGTGATTTTCAGACATTTCACATACCTCTTTGCTTTAATATTAGGGGAAACATTATTTCCCGATAGACAGGGGAAACATAGGGAAACCGAATTGCCCGGAACCCGGAAGTGCGCCGTAAACACAGAGAGGAAAGAGAGAAGGGGAAACCAAGACACGGCAGACTCGAAACGAAACACGGGATACGCGAAAAACCGGACAACATGACACATACAAACCGAAAGGATACTGACCTATAACTTAATATTCAGGAGACGGGGGGCGAGCGGCGTTAGGGGAGGGCGAGGCGACCGTCACAGTGATTCACAAAAAACCGGCAGAACTTCCATAAAGCAGTTGTTTTGCTGTGCTACGGCCATTTATGACAGCTGCGTTTCCGGCACGGATCCAAACTAGCTTCGCAACCTCTGTTTTCTTCCGACGAAGAATAAAAAATATCGAACGTTTTATCGAACACATTTTTATTGATATCGATCACGTGTCTATCGCGATACATATCGTAATCGTTTTATCGCCCAGCCCTAGTTTCAACTAAGTATTAGAATTGAATATTTTATTTGCAGTTATATTAATTTGTCCAATTACTTATGAGCCCCGGAAAGGAGGGGATTGTGTAGAAAAATTACTTTAGTTCCCCACATTTTTATGCAATGTTTTTGTTCTACCCACTGAATTAAAGCTGAACGTCTGCATTTCAACTGGATCTGACTTGTTTCTTTTAAAATTTATTGTGATAATGTCTCTGTCCAAATATTTGTGGTCCTAACTGTATCTGAAGAATTTAGTCTGTTTTTTCCCAAATGAAAATGATTGAATATGAAAAGTATGTTTTTGTCTGACTTCTATTTTTCACCTCATGCTAAAGTGTCAGTACAGACTCTTGCTCTGTGTTTTACACATAAAACAAATACATTTTGTATTGATAATTCCTACAGATCACATCAGCAGCAGTCCTGCTGCAAACTAACCAGACTGCATTTTTCCAAGAGTGAGTCCTTGACTGCTGTGTTGTCTGCTTTGTGTGATATCTTACAGGGCAGCCCATTAACCCTCAGTGCAGAATCTACCCAGAGGAAATGATCCAGACGGGCATCTCCGCTATCGATGGCATGAACAGCATTGCCCGAGGACAGAAGATCCCTATTTTCTCTGCCGCAGGTTTACCACACAATGAGGTATGGCCTGGACAAAATTGACCTCCTCCAAAATTGGCTCAGGGTCGGGGGAAAGGGGGTCTGGAGCCAATGTGGTTTGCCAGCTAGAACATCTGGTCAGGAGTAGGTTTCCTCATGGCCTGCCTGTCTCTTGTAAGGGAAAATCACAATATTTAAGATATATTGCAGTCACTACCAGGAAAAGGTAATCAGGAAAGGTAACCCGTCTGCATTATACATTCCATTATGAACCTCTTAAATATTTATCAAACTTTACTATGTAAATAGTTGGCAACACAACCCAGAGCGCTTTTCCACAGCAACAGGTACTGTACTTTTGGTATGATACTTTTGGTACTTTCCCTTTTCCATTGACTTCCGGTTGAGTACCAGTACCAATAGTTCTGGTAACCACAGTACTAAAGCAGCTGGGGTACGTTTGGCATTTAGGGTGGTACTTGGAAACATTGTCGATTAGTTATGCAAATAGCCTGCCTTGAAAAAACAATGATAAGCCAATCAAAAAAAGAAAACGCAATAATGATGTATGCGTGGACAAATGAAGAGACCCAAGCTTTAACTGTGATCCAGAACAAGATCTGGATGGCATGACAAGAAATATGAACGTATTTGCTATAATGTACTAGGGTTGCATGATATTGGAAAAAAATCAAATATTGTCATGTGATTTTATTGTAATAAATATTGGGATATACACAAAGCAATAAAGGAGTTAAATATCCCACAGTCTTCTTGGAATGATATAAACAGGAAGGATGAAATGATTATGATTGTCTAAAAGAGCGCATGCAGAGTTCATGAAAAGCAGCAGAGGTACACTTTAAACTGATTATTTTGAAAAGGAATAATCATTAAAATTGCAGTGCTTGCCAAGTTTTGTTTCCTATGACAAAGTAAAAATGTTTTTAGTAAAACTTGCTGTCTGGACAGTTTGAAGTTATGAAAAAGCCTGATCGCAAACCAGATGACTATCGCAGTCTTTGTAATCATCATCATCATCATCATCATCATCATCATCATCATCTTTATTTATAAAGCACTTTAAAACAACCACAGCTGACACAAAGTGCTGTACATTAAAACCAAATAATCAACTTTCATAGGAAATAAATAAAATGCAAATAAGTTAATTTATTACTAGCTAATTTAATTACAAGGAAAATTTAAAGGTGAGGTAATGTGAGAATTGCATGTGTATAACCAGGGATTGACATACCTGGTACGCAAGTACGCATTCACCTTTAAAAGAGATATGTGCGGCAATTGATTGTTGTAACATTTTAACCTCTATGCCGTAAATGAAGTTCGAATTAGCATATAAAGGTTAATTTCTTGTCATATTGCCGCAAACGCACATAAAATATGTACGCATTCACACTGTTGCAACAATCGATTGCCGCACGTATTGCTTTTAAAGGTGAATGCGGACTTGCGTACTAGTTATGTCAATCCCTGTGTATAACATGTGATGTTGGCATTAATATCGCACATTACCCAGCTCTATAATATACTACAGACATTTTTCAAATTCAGTACAAAATAGTCAGTCCGGCTACAACGCAAGTAATGCGTTCTTGAAAATCCTCGCATTCACTAAAACTGCATTAAACACACATATCCAAAGGGAAAAATAGGTCCAAACCACGCTTCAAGACCCATTTACTGTATTTTCTAACCCCACTAGATGTGGACCTTGGGTTACTTTGGAGTATGTTTGAGTCCTTTATTGAGTCCTTTTTTGACTCTTTTATCTTTTCAAATCTTTTAGATTTGAATACCGGTTCAACCGCTTAGCTGGAATGAACCGGACATCACTATTGATCACCTGGATAGTTGTTTTTGCGACCAAGTAGTGTTTCTCACTAAGACCATATTGCTTTGTTGTTTAATTAGTGCTGTTCTCTCGAACCGTAAATTGCGCCAATACAAAAGCAATTCTGCATTGTGTTGGACTTGGGTACTAAAATATCAATGATGTTAGAACAGATTCGCATTGTGATATCATGCGTTGTAGCAGGACTGACTGTGCCCTGCCTTTTGTTGTGATGTCAGTGGCGGTACCAGTTTTTACGGCAGTGGAAAACCAACATCTTGAAGTACCGTACTTTTGGTACTTTTTTGAAGTACTAAAAGTAAGAGACCCGATGCAGTAGAAAAGCGCCCTTAGAAAATGATCTTGTTAGCTTCTTAGTGAGATATCCCCTGGACAAAGCAGAAGGGGCAGAATCGGGTAAATTGTAAATGTAAATATAACAGTTGAATCTAGACAGGCTGGTAAATATGTCCTCATTCGGTCAAAGAAAATATGACAGGGAAGTAGTCTTTTATTCAGTCTCTGTATTTTTCAAAGAGACTGATTATCATATAAACAGCTGTACATGGTGTTAACACAAAAATTTTGTAAGTTTGTGTGCTACATCTTATATGTGTAGAAGGTTAATTTACAGTAAGTGTGTTTGGTTTTTCATATTAATCATAATTATCCTACTCCTGACAGTAGTGGGCAGTGGTGGCTTGATGGTTAGGGTAGAGCACTTGTAATTGAAAGATTGCAGGTTCGAATCCCCCACCAGGAGGTGACATGAGGTCACATATGGGTCAAATGCAGAGGACACATTTCGTTGTTGCGCACTGTGTGCTGTGGTGTGTTGACAATGACCACTGATCACTAAATTCTAATTCTAATTTGAGGAGTTGTAAAAAAGTAATTATCCACATCTCACCTGCTAAATGACAGTCTCATTTTTATGTTAGATTGCAGCACAGATCTGTCGCCAAGCAGGTCTCGTCAAGAAATCCAAAAGTGTAATGGATTACAGTGAGGATAACTTTGCCATTGTATTTGCTGCCATGGGGGTAAGTGTATTCTGGCACTGATTGTGAAGTATGAAATGTGAAGATTTAATACTGTAGTGACGACATTAATTTTAAAAGTGATTAGAAGGAACCAGATAAATACTACAGCAAAGTAAACTTTTTCTTCTGGTGATTGTAGATTGATGATTTTATTTGGATATTCATCACCCCAGGTTAACATGGAAACAGCAAGATTTTTCAAGTCTGACTTTGAAGAGAATGGTTCTATGGATAACGTGTGCCTCTTCTTGAATTTGGCCAATGACCCGACGTGTGTAATTCTTATAAACTCTGTGACATGTCTTCAAATCATAATTTTCATCAGATCAGTTAATTCTGACATCATGATTCCACACATCCCTATTAACACTTCCTAATTAAATATATAACCTAAGCAGAACAAATGAAAGTTGCAGTCTGCATGAATAGTCAGCTTAGATGGTTAGGGATGGTTCTCTGCTGTTCTGCCTCCAGAATCGAGCGCATCATCACCCCTCGCCTGGCTCTAACCACTGCCGAGTTCCTGGCCTACCAGTGCGAGAAGCACGTGCTGGTCATCCTGACGGACATGAGCTCCTATGCTGAGGCTCTGCGAGAGGTCAGGGGTTAATGGGCAGCCGCCTGTCGCTTTGAGTGCTGCTGAGATAAGGAAAAGCATCATGCCAGTTTGGTGATTCTTCATCTTTCCCGGCTTCCAATCCCAACCCCACCACACAAAGGTGTCCGCTGCCAGAGAGGAGGTCCCCGGGCGCCGTGGCTTCCCTGGCTACATGTACACGGACTTGGCCACCATCTACGAACGAGCAGGGAGGGTGGAGGGTCGCAATGGCTCAATCACCCAGATTCCCATCCTCACTATGCCCAATGACGGTAAGAGTGTGATGTAACCTCTCCAACTCTTCCCTGTGACATCACTTAAACTTATTTAGCAGATGCTTTTGTCCAAAGTGACATACAAAGGACCTGGGCGTCATTAAACAGGGTCTGCTGGCATCCCTGAAGGAGTCGGTTGTGGGCCTTGCTCTAAGGCTCAGTGGTGATATGACTACTCTGCTGGGTGCAGGATTAGATCCCATGCCCAGACACTGGGCGCAGATTCCTTGTCTGCTAAGCTACACACTGCCACCAATGTATCCAAGGAAGTTCCAAAGAGTATCACGTCTAGCTTCTCCTGGTTCTATGTTCTGAAACTATCTTTCATCCATTGTAGATATTACTCATCCCATTCCTGATTTGACCGGTTATATCACAGAGGGACAAATCTACGTTGACAGGCAGCTGCATAACAGACAGGTCTGTATGTGAGGTACAGTGCAATATAAAGCTTGTTTGTTTGTCATGTCACTTGTTTTCTGGTCTGTTGAAGGGAACTTATTGAAGATGTACCGTGTGCTTTCCTTTCAGATCTACCCTCCAATCAATGTGCTTCCATCCTTGTCTCGACTGATGAAGTCTGCCATAGGGGAGGGGATGACCCGTAAGGACCATGCTGATGTGTCCAACCAGCTGGTGAGTAGCAAACAACTCCCATAATGCTTTGCCATTTAATAGGAAATTAACCAACCGTAACTGCTGAATAAATAACCGTATTGTTATCTCCTGTTGCTGGAACCAAGTGGTGGTGGTTCATTTCCTTATGATTGTTGATAGCCTTGTTCTGCTATAGGGAAGCATGCATCTGATGGTTCTGCATTGACAGGCCGTGGTTGCTGGTCTGTATGCAAGCCTTGTGTTTTTGGTTGGCAGTATGCTTGCTATGCCATTGGGAAGGATGTTCAGGCCATGAAGGCTGTGGTGGGGGAGGAGGCCCTGACTGCAGATGATCTTCTGTACCTGGAATTCCTGCAGAAATTTGAGAAGAATTTCATCTCTCAGGGTCAGTAGAATTGGTTGGCTTCTGATCTGCACAGAGATGAAACTGGAGAATATTTGACATTTTTTAAACTTCTAACTTTATCTGTTTATCGTTCATTTTAACAAACATATAGACGGCCTACAGGAAGATGCCATTTGTTGGTGTTTTCTGTCCAACAGGTGCTTATGAGAACCGAAGTGTATACGAGACCCTTGACATTGGCTGGCAGCTGATGAGAATCTTCCCCAAGGAGATGCTCAAACGGATCCCGCAGAGCACCCTGGCTGAGTTCTATCCCCGTGAATCCAAACATTAATGCCCAGTCCCAGCTCTCTATCAAGCCATGTTTAACTGTCTTTTTGACCATGCTGCTGTCATCAAGTCCTTTAAGCAACATGTGTGAATACATTCTGTGATTCAGCTTGTTGATGCCTCAGTAGAATATCAGTGTGTGGTTTTTGTGTATTTTATGGAAAAAAATGGATATTACAATTATTGTAGACAGTTATTGTATCAGAAATAGAAGGGTACACAGGTTATATTAACTATATGAAGGTTTTTCAGTAAGGATTACAAAAAAACCATCAGGGCAGAAGTTTAACAGACATATTAAGCATAGATATATAATATATAGATATAATTGTATAAGTAAATAACTGTAAAAGTTGTTTTTCTATAACAGTGATTATGGATAAAAGGCATGGAAATTAGATGATGTTAAATATAAGGCCGTGTCTATACTCGCAGATTCTCTAAATTGTTTTGCTTGAATGTGCAGATGATTAATTAAATGTCAGAAGTCATGTCCTTTGCACAACTCAAAAATTTACTTTTCCCACAATTGTAACAATCCATTACTCAAAATCTCCGCATTAATTTGCTGTGCCAATCACTGTTTTAGTGTTTACATATTAAGCTATCTACAGATAACTGTTGTACTTGTTTATTTATGGTACCTGTTTTCATTGGTTTGCTTGAACAGTGTGTCCAAAAAATAGCGACCTGTATTTATTTGTTTGTTATTTGAATCTGTTATTATTAATTACAATGTGACTGTAATTGTTGGAATGTGTTGTGCATTTTTATGTTTGTGCCATCGCAGAACGTCCATAATGTAAACATGATATAAAAATATAATTTATCTGCTTGTCACTAGTAAATTACATATGAGGCACTAACGGGTACCTTGACAAACCCTGACGACAATGTCAAGTTAAACTGTTTTGTATATATGTAATTGGTAGTGAATATAAATTATAAAAATGCATAATAAATGATGGAAAATGTGGTGAATCTTGCAGTGTAGTTCTTTTTGGCTGCCTTTGACAGGTCTAGAATAATTTGAAGCTAAACGTGACTACAGTATCTTATTAAAGAAAACTGGAGCCAAGACCTGATCGATTGGCAATTTGCATAAATTTCTTTCCAGGGAAAGCAAATCGAAAACTGACAATTGAGCTGGAATGTACGTCTTTAAATAGAATCACTTTATAAATCCCCAAGGAGTAATTCTCTGTTCAATTTACCTCATCTTGCTCTATGAGACGGTGACATATAGGGGGTCACACAGAGGAGCTGGGGTCTAAAGGCCTTGCGAAAGGGCACAGGGTCACGTGACTGGGCTGCCGGGGACCAACTCGAACCGGCGCCTTTCGATCGCAGGCAGAGGCTTAGCCCGCTGATACACATACCGCTATCGAATAGTTTAATTTACGTATCCAGACATATACTGTAGGGACTTATACAATGAATATAAGTGATAACGTTAATCGTGTGTAAATAATTGGAGGAAAACACACAGCTGCTATTTTTAAGTAATTGGGTCAGCAGGTGTGTGAATTGAGCCGGTTGATGTATGCGCTACTATGCTGGGGAAAGTTTGGGGTCTCTTTTGCTGCAATAAAAGAAAACATTCAGGTTTGTAATTGAGTTTTTTTTATTTTATTTAATAACAATAGTTTCTTTTTATCATAACACATTTTCCTACAAACAGATCAAACTTCGTCAGGCAAGAGCAACTGCAAAGTCAAACGTATCTGTTCCGCAGAGGTATGATTATTATTACTATTAAGCACTTAAGCGTTTAATCTTTGGATATCCTCATTGAAATCTAATGAGCACTTAACGTTATGCTTGTTTTCCAGACTGTAAGTACTGTTTCGCAGGCGAAGGACGGCGGCGATGGTGGGAGTGAAGTGCGGCAGAGGGGAGAGGAGAAGGCGGCCGCAGACGAGGGCGTGCGGGCGCTCGGTAACGCTGACCACACTCACGCTTTCCGACAATCACGCAAGAAATCTTACGGCAAATCTATATTATTCCACCACGAACCTAAAATTAGCTACATCAAAAGCGTTGGGGCAGTTTGCCAAACCTACAGACTATTTACCGCAGACAAGGTATTTTTTACAGTCGTAACCTACAAACTAACAAAGGCCTACTTCTTGCCGTCAACACGCTTGTCCGTGTACGGATATGTTACGATCCCTATGGTGAACTGGACTAGAGTAAATAACGCAAGAGAGCAGTTTGCAAAGTTTAAATGTGCACTTAACGTAAGAAATAATCAGTGTCACCTTTCTCATGTAGAATGCCAAGTACATCCTGACACGGAGAACACGGACATGTCCCTTAATGAGTTTACCCTGGATGATCTGGTTACCTTCACTGATCAGGTAAGGGTTCAGACTGATTGACATCTATAACTGGCTTGCTGATAAAATGGTAAATGGTATTTTTACTACTTTCTTCATAAAAACGAAAATCCTCTTTGGATTGCTTTTGTTTAGCGAAAACAGGTGCTAATATAGGTGTTTCGTGAAAGTGAAGTGGCATAAATTGAACATTTGTGAAGCGGGAGGATGCCTGCATAAGAAATCCAGCTGCTTTCAGGCTGCAGACATGCTCAGTGGACTCGGGAAGGTTTTTCGAGTAATGAGGATCTAGTTCATTCCAAGTACCACAACGTTGCAGTCTGTATTAACTCCCTTGCAAAGGACTCCATTAAAATGAATATTTCAAGTTGCATACAGAATCAGAGTAGCTGGTATAGTGTCTAAGGCTTAGAATGGGAATCCTTCTGGGAAGAGCCCTGCCTTACATTTTAAAAAATGCTTATGCTGAAATGCCACATATACTGCCATGAATATCAGTAGCTATGAAACTGGGCTGAATTTTTTTTTCCCCCTCAATCCAAGGGTGAAAGTTCAGTGACGAGAGGGTACCTTCTGGCAAAGCAAAGAACAGGAATGGTGCACGAGGAAGGACAAGAAGCAGGAGCTGGACATGTCAATGATACTGCTGAAGACTTCAAACTTGAAAGTAGGTTTCTAACATAATAGCCACCATGGTAATTTTACAGAATTTTGTGGATTCTTAATGTTAATCTTATTTTTATTGACTTGTAATGTAGCAACTAGCTGTTGCTTTTAGTACTATTTGTAGGAAAATTATTCTTCAAAAAAAGATATTTTGATTTGTATATTGGGTAATTCTTGAAGGACTTTATTTTAAAACCCCGCCACAGGGTTTTGTAAGCATCACAAGTCTCCAGGAATGAATGAAGTACTGGAGATGATGCGTGATGGTGTGTCTCTTAGACATGTGATTGAGGTACACAAGGTAAATCTGGTCTGAGGGTCTGGTCTTGGGGAAGCTGGGAGACTGAAAGTTTTATATGTTGTGCTTAACCAGTAACTATGCGGTAGAGCTTTCATCCCCCTAGCCCAAATAATTTCAACCCCCGTGATAAGTATATTGGTGAATTACTGACACTGTGAAATGGTGTAGTGGGTCAGTGCTTAGTGTTACAACACCACACCACCATGATTCTGAGTCTTGTCCTACTTTTATGTATGGTGTCATTTGCTTGCACATCGTGGTTTTCTTGCACAATTTTAAGGAAAACAAAAGGTCACCACTAAGTTTTCAATGTGTGTACATACCATATTTCAGGTCTCTTGTTCATGACTGTTTATGGCTTGTCATCAGTTGGAAGCAGAACCTGAATTGAACAGCCAGATGGAGTCAGAGCTTCACAGAATTCTGAAGAAGAGGAAGGCATCTTCAGACAACTATATTTCAGGTGGGTCATTAGTCGCACTGACTTGGTTCTGTGCTTGATGATATTTTGTTATGTAAAAGTGGTGGAAAAACTTTATATATAGTTTAGACAAATGCTCTGGGTTTTGGGTCACTCGGGAGAGATGTGATCCAATTTTTGGCATCTTGTTGTTCAACACACAGATGGCTCTTTGATTAGGAATCCCACGGAATCATATATGGTGATGGTCCCACAGAATGGCTCAGCCCTGAAAAGCTGCCCCGGGCAGAACTACCTACACCAGGAGGAGGGGAATGGCCAAGAGTAAAGGCACAAAAGGTAATCACGGCATTATGGGTAATTATCTACCCATTCTGGGTAATCTGAGGTAATTTGCTGAAGGTTTGCAGTAAACCCATGATACACAAGAAAAATCATATTTATCTAATATGAATTTCAAATGGAGGCTATAAGAAGGCAGAGAAGGATTTCAAAGCTATGATCTAGCCCATGGGGTATGACTATATGAAAGGATAAACGGCACTCCCCGAAGCTTTGCATAGTAGTGAAATGATTAAGTCCTGTCCTATTTGTGTTCAGTTACACAGTAACACACAGTACGAGTCTGTAAGTTTATGCTGGGATTGTTTATTTCCTTCGTTCATCGTGAGCTTGATGCATCCATATGCAAGTTTGCAAGTTGTCAAAAGTTTTTTTTTTTTTGTTTCCTTTTGCTGAGGAGAATCTTACCCACTGGTGGCAAGAATTTATGTGTCTTTGATACTTGGCAGGTATCCAGTCACAGAAGCCAGAACTTTCTCAGCGTTGCTGAAAATGAGCCAACTCAATTTGTCTTGTGTGACGTGATGAAGTCTCTGCAGACTACAGCTGACAAATGAAAGCAGTGGTTTCATTTCAGACAGATGTTTCTGGATTCTTAAACACAGTTGCCTCTGAGAACAAAAGCCACCCCGCTTGAAACGAGCCCAGTCTTTTTCTTTGGACAGGCAAATCCCATAATGTCCCAGCAGCCTCTGGCAGGCATCCCGAAGTATTTGGTGGTTAATAAGTTGCTGTATTTGTTTCTATATTTTGAGGAACAGTGAGGTTGTAATTTAAATGATTGCCAGTTATGTGATAAACAAATGCGATAAATATTATGCGATATTCATCAAATCCATTCTTCAGAAAAAAATCTTCATAAAGGCAAAGCTGGTTCCTCACAAGTAGATTATGGCTGTTCAGTCCTGGAACAGGAGGGCTGTGCTTATTGCATGTTGTTCTGAAGCAGTTTCAAATCAAGGTTAAATTAGTGCAATATTAAGCTAGATCTCAGCTGAATGCTTTGTGTCTAACAAAGACACAGTTCTTCATAGACATTGTTGATCGTTTTATTAATGCTACGGCTGCCTATGTGTGTTTATAGTGTGTGTGTGTGTGTGTGTGTGTGTGTGTGTGTGTGGGGCGTATATACATAAAATCAGTATCTAATAAATTTTTTTTTCTTTTTTTGGCTTTTTAGTGATCTGTTTTTTCAGACTTGTTTTTGGAAGTTGTCTGTTCTCGATGGTGACTTTTTCCCCTGCAATAAAAATGTCATTTGGTAGAAGGGTATAATGCCTAATTATCTGGAAGGTTCCACCTCCATCTCCTAAACATGCTTCCCTTGGTGCATGTGAAGAAGCAGAGCGCTTACTGTTACTCTTCTTAAGAACAGAGCATTTTGACTCCATAACATCAGATTGGAAGTTACTGTTCATTGTAATACCAAATGTTTCATCAGAATCACCTTTTATGAGGAAGCTTCCTTTTTTATTCAGGGATTGGGACTGTGAGTCATTGAAGGCTGAAAGACCTGCTGTGTTTGGACTTTACATTGGCAATGTCTTTAATTCCTGGGTGATCAAACACATGAATCCACTGTCTATTGAGTTCTAGCTTCACAGGTCATGAATTTTGAGAGGAAAAACTAACTTTTCCATTAAACCCACTCCTGCTTTGCTGGTGGGAAGAAGCATCAGTCGCATGAATGACAAGTAAGAGGTGAGGCTTGAAAGCACGGGGATGATGTCATGATTTCGGGTGTTAAGCATTAAGGAATATGCACGTGTGCGTGTACGTTCTGCTCACGCCTGTTCTGTATCAGCATGCTGTTTCAATTTACTTTTAAGAACACAATTCACATGTGGGACATAAGATTTCTATTGTATGTGTTTTTGCAGTTGCGTTAAAGTCAATAGGATTATGTGCTGCTAACGGATTTCTTGCCGAGCCCCGGGAAAATGCCCCCCTGCTGTTTGACTGGTCTGTAAAAAACCAGAAAGGGTCTCGACCAAATTTTAATGGGTTTAGCAGAAGTTGGCCTCTGTTTGGCCAAGGTAGCTATTGAATTAGTCATTGTTTAACTTGTTTCTAAATTTCATTTGTTTTTTGTTTTTATATGATACTGTTCAGGCTCTGCTTTCAGGGGGCAGATTAGATTTCAATGACGAAAACATTTCATATTGGTCCTCAAGCTTTGTGGAACCTATATTGTAGTTGGTCACTAGAGGGAGCCAAAGATTACATAATATCTGGATTCCATATTCAGCATGTAGTACATTTTTAAGCAGTGAGATAAATCTATATTGTAATGGATTTCAAGATGGGATAATTGTTGGCTTTATGTTGAACTTTTTGAATGACTTGGTAATTGGCAATGAATGATAAAGTACAGGCAAAATGGGAACTTTTTAAAGTTCCCAAGACTTGCTTTGTTCTGACTGTTACAAGGTTGCCTATTATGCAGGAAAGCACCAGGCCAGTAATGTTTTTGCATTGTGAGAATATGACCTAGCAGCCCCTGCCACCTGCAATTTCTGTCATTATTACAGGCAATTAAGTTTCCTTTAACACACAAGGCAATCGCTCCTTAGAGGTGATTGATTGTACCACACGACGCTGAAGTCACACTGGCTCCCTCGCATCTGTATTTGTGCAAGTGGCGAGCAGGACTGAGGATTGCAAGCAAACGAGCAAATCAAAGAACCGCTAAAATGAACGGCAATGATATGGGGGGGAATTTCTGCATGCTGTTAAGGTTTTGAGGAGTTTGGCTTAGAGCTATCATATTTCAAATGGCAGAAATGACATTTTAAATCCCCTTCAGGAATTATCTTTATGGAAGAGTTTTAGCAAATATTCAGTTGCTTGGTGTCAGTTATGCTATGGGGAAAGAAGCATGTTTACGTACCTTCAGGGGATGAACCTGTGTGCATCTTAATCTGTCAGCAAGGTAGGTGTTACCTCACTGTTACTCTGCTGGACTAGAAAATCCTGCAGGGCTCTGAGACTGGGATAACGGAAATTTCTTTTGTTTTTTTTTTGAGACGGCTCTACTTTCTGAAACATTAAAAATTCATATAATTAAAGAAAGGTCTGTTATTAAAAACGGCATAGAGGCGGTAAACAACACTTTGAGAAAAGGGGAAAATAAAGGGAAGATATTTTTAAAGCTTGTACTGGAGACATGGAGACTGGCTTCTGGTGCTAGATGGCAATGGCTTTGGGTGTGTTCTGTTTCTGTGGGGGACAGAAGAATAATGAAAGAATAGAAAAGAGGAGGAGGAGGGTGTAATTATTCAAGTGCATATTCTCCAGGCGAAGGTGGGAGCTTGGGGAAGGAGGGCTTTTGAGAAGACGGCGCTCCGTGTGTCTTTGTGTGCCGAAACACACAGGCTGCAGCTGCTGAATATGCTGTAATTTGACACGATGCGGTTGTCAAAACACGTTTGTGCGTGACGACGGTAAACAGCACTTTCGAAGGGTCATTTTGAATGGGAATGCTGAGCAGTTATTTTGGAAGTGTTGTCACGGTTCACGCCCACAACAAGGGAGAAGCCTTTTCATATCATCTTAGCTCCAGGATTTGAGCTGTTTGAAAAACATGGTATGAATTTATCGTATTTAGGGACTTCAATTCCCATGATGTATGACTTAAAATTAACCCTCCCTCGCCTTTAGAACCATATCAGCTGCAGTGGTATGGCTTTACGTAGTGCTTTTTGTGCATGTAGAGATGGAAATCCACTTGAAGACACACATTCAGTATGCTTCTGTTGATGGTGTGATAAAACTGATCACCGCGATGGAGGGTGGGGGCCCCTTGGTTCATAAGAAGACCCTCCCCTTCCCTATCAGAATTGCCTACCACAATTGTCCTTGACTCATTAACTTCCAATTTCTGTTTTAATAATCTTCTCTGGGCTGTGTCTGTATTGAGCTCCATTTAATCGTTACCTTTTTGGGTCATGTGTTTAGAATAAGTTGAGGTCACTGTAAGTAGGGCAAGGTTACTGCTGAGAGCTGGCCTTATAGCCCAAACGCTTCACATAGCATCAAGAGCTGGGAAATGAATACTCTGACTGGAAAACTGAGAACTGCCTGATCAGTAAATGCCAATATCACTCTGGCTAATTTTTCTTTCCCCCAAAACGTTCTACTTAAGTCCGTTGCTCCTCAGTATCTATTTCTTGTTCCCTGATCTGCATCGTTTTATTAATTGATACTTAGTGTTTTGAGATTTGATTGTACCCAAAAGATCTTTGTTTTTCTGTATTTTGAAACGTCATTCAGTCTTTATTTAATATGTGAGATATGGCAAAGAAGCCAGATCAGGGTTTTGTGTCATTTGGCTGCTTCCCCGATGGGTGACGATGACACTTGAAACCAGGTTCCATTTCATGACAGATATGTGTTTATGAAGATGAACGCCGGTAGCTTTTATGTTTTGATCGATCGTGGTTGTATATTAACCACTAGGTGTCACTGTTGTAAATCAGTTTCACTCTTTTGCACAGGTACTCTTGTTCTTATCACTATTGCCCCATATGCAGTTTTTATCTCTCAAAATGCATACTGGCCGTTTATAACTGTAAAGATAACCTTTAAACAAAAGTTATGTTAGGAGGCAGTTACTTGTAGTCTAATTATATTTGTAATCTCTCTTGGAACTCAAACTCCTGCTTTAGGAGAGTGTCACTGTGAACCACAGCCTTAGTGCGGCTGAATCGCTTTCATTGCTGTGGTGGAAAGCCAGTGGTGCAGGGACAGTGACAGGAAATTGCCGTCACCGAGTTTCACCGACGGCATGGAGGCTGTGCTTAATGACCTGACGGGTTTAATGCTGCAGCCCCATGTGGGCGTCATTACAATGACAAATGGATTCCATATCAATTAATAAAGGGAGGCTCTCCGATATCACTCACAGATGTGTCAATGAAAGAAAGGTCAGCGAGGAGGGTGATCGTGTCCTGAGCAGTGGGCCTCTTTCCAGAATGGTGTCACGTTTATTAATTTATTGCCTGATTTATCCCTCTCCCCACCCTCTAATGATAGTGGTTCATAATGGAATATTGTTGCCGTTAAGATGTCTTCACGCTATGTTCTGGTGTACTTGTTACATACTTTGGTGCAATTTTACTGTAGTAACTTGTACTACACTGACTGGATGTATAATTTATCGCCACTTTTATATTTGAGACTAGTAGGCTGTACCGTACCTTTTGTGCTTGTGTGCTCTTTGTTATTAAGGGTGCAGCCTGTCATCTTGCTCTGCTGCCTTTGTCTGTGTCATATAAATGTCATGTCCCTTTTTAACAGTAAGCCTCTGCTTTAGTGCTTACACCTGGTGCTGTAGTTAACCTCTCGCTGTCTTATAAAATGACACACGGTCAGGCTGTCGTGGGGATCTTTGATGCTGCGTTGGGTGAAAGTGAATCTCCTTAAAACACCAGTAGAACTCTGCAAAATATGAAGCTGGCAGGTAGCATGAAAGATTGCCAGTTCAAATCCACGAGGTCCTTGCAGAAAACACTGGATTTCCTCAGAACAAAAGGAAAGTGGTAATTCGATTGTATCACGTTCAGGTGACTTCTGAAATCTGCCTGAAAGGTAGCATGTTCGTTGATGACTTAATGGTATTTTTCTTTAATGGTCTTAGGTCCATAACTGGAGCAATATGTGGCCTTCGAGGCGCTGCGGCAGTGCAGACAGGAGGCGGCTGTGGGGAAAGTGGAGCTGCAGTGGTGGGTCTTTTTTTAATCCGGCCCCCTGGGAAGCCCCGTGCTCCCTTGTTAATGAGCGCCTCTCCCGTGCTGAGCGACTTAGCGCAGCCGCGGCACGCGTGCGAGGAAGCTGATAGTGATGGAGGCCTCTGGCTGGGGCATTGTACTTAATGCCTGGATTAATGCTTGATATGCAGGGGAGCTTCAGGCCTGGGGGGTGGTGGGGTAACAAACAGATGGTTGATAAGGCTAACTAGTGACCCTGGGGCAGATCCCAACCCCCCCCGATCACCCCCAAACAAAGAGCCATGGTGGATCTGTGCTCACACAACCTTGTCAGACATACATTAGTGAGCCTGGGGTCCTCGACAGTCTTCCAGTTGAGGTGGGCATGCGGAAGGATGCTTCTTTCATCTCTCTCACCGACAATGGCGTGCGTTTTAAATTAAGGCCGCTCGACGTGTGATGTAGCCACTGGCTGTTATCGCGCACTGCGAAGAGATCGGTGTTAGGGATGGAAACTCCACAGGTCTGCTTCTTACCTGCTGACCAGCAAGGAAATCAGAACTGCAGGAGCAAGTGTGAAGCTTAGGAAACCCTAAAGGGTAACACTTTCCCAAGCTTTGTGTATGGAATCCAGTGGTCCAACAGCCTATATCTTCCTACATATGATACTGCGGCAGATCAGCCATAGATGTTGCTTGCAGATAAAGCCGTCCTTTTAATGTACCAGCCGTAAGACTGTTGGCTTTGTTCTTCTGCTGGACCTCAAACGACGTTGGTGTGTTTGTCAGAATTTTGGTCTTTCCCTGCTTTTTGTTGCTCTGATTGTTCCTCTCTTAATCTTTACAGGTGATGCACTGCTTCACAACGTTGTTTTTAAGATGTTTGAATTATGTCGAACACCTGGTTTCTGTGCCCCTTCCACACTCTCATCTCATTTTCCTCTTCTGATCTAATTTTTTTTATTTTTTTTTCCTTTAACACCCTTGTAACGCAACATTCTGTTGAAAGGGTGCAGATGAACTGGAGGGCTCGTACCAGATGGGAGATGAGTGGGATCAAGCGGCCTGTCCCTCCCACAAACACTTATCACTCATCACTCATGCAGTTCAGCTGCTACAGTTAAGTCAGAGCCCACTTAAAGGCTTCTATCTGTAGGATGTGAATATAGCCTTTCCTGCTGGCCGTTGTTCCTGTTTTTTGTTTTTTAAACCCTTCACTGCTGCAGTTCCTCACTGGCCCTGACGAGAACAGGACAGACATGAGCCACTGAGAATGTGATTTGGTCATACAGCTTCCTTTTGATGACTCTAAATAATTCCCTCCTCCCCCACCCCCCTCAACATTAGCTGCGTAACCACAAGTTGAGGACCAGGGGTCAATCTTCAATTCTTTGGTCTGCTACTTGATCCTTGCTAGCTTACTAATCCAGTTGAGAGATTCTGAGTTTTATTGCTTATAATAATGCCTGGATGGTTCATGTATTATTGATTGCATGCTGGGTAAAAAAAAATCGACAGGATGATATTTATCTATACATATATCTGTATATTTATGTCACTCTAAGTTGCACACACAATTTCTGTGTCTTTATATGTGGATATAGTTTATGGCCAAATTCAAGTCAGGGGATAAAGCAGTGATGTGCAGCTGACGTCTTTTCCTGATGGTGACGTGTCTGTTAATTCATTTAGAAACGCTGCCTGCCAAGCGGTCATCAGGTTCACAGTGGGGTCCCTCTAAATTACCGGGCTACGTCCTACAATGACTTAACTGCTTAGCAATTATGCATCGCGGTGTCTGCAGACTGGAGGGGGCCGGACTGAACAACAAAGCCTGCCGTCTCTCGGCTTCAGAATTCTTCAAATGCCAAGCGATGCTCTACATCTGATGCAGGAACAGTGGACTGTATTTCCAGTGAGATAGAAAAGATTTTGACTATTTTCCATTTTCATAGAATCTCAAATTCTATACGGCTCTCTCCAGATGGATTAAGGGATGTATTTTTAGTGCTTTTAAAATGACACATGAATATAACATTTGTATAGCGTTGCAGTGTCTGATAGATAGTTCTCTGGGAGACTTGCGATTTGCCAGCCGTAAGTCGTCGGACGTGTGCAGATGCTCACAATCGTATATCACTTGATAAGTGTCATCATTTTGCAATTGCCCTCTTTTCACCACTCCTTCCCTGTTGGGTCATAAAATCCATGGCATCCAGCCTGAGTAATTTAGGTTTTTGGTGGCGTTTAAGCTGAGGTCATTAATCATGCTTAGGATGTAAATCACGATAACAATAGCTGCTCCTCTGGGCAGCAGTGTTTTCTCTTTGAACTGATTATTAATTTGATTCCATATGTGATATACAACAAAAAGGTGGGGGGGTGGGATGGGCAATTGTGACATCACGAAAGAGGCTGGAAAAACATCACATTGAGCTAATACAACCCTTGTTATAGGTCTTTATTTGAACATGGTTATATTCCGCTGCACTCATTTTGTCACTGTTGCTTAAGTTGCAGATTTCAGTATCGCCAAGTGGTTAAACTAGATGTACTTGCTTTGATATTAAAGCCAGTAATTGTTCAATAAAGCATGTTTAGACAAGTGGAATAGTACCATAAAAATAAGGCAGCAGGAATAAAAATGAATAAATGAACTTTTATGTGCCACTATAATAAAATGTTCATTCTTTTTCTAAGAGGCGTCCTTAAATGCAAAATTGTGAGATTTAAACAGAAGTGTAATCTGACAACTTGGTGAAAACCTTTTCATTTATTTAAATAAAAAATATTCCATATATAAATAACAATGGACATTTTGCACCTATCTGTGTAGACAAACTCCATTGTAAAGTGTTTGTCGAGTCCAGAGGCACTGGCAGAAGAGGCCAATGCTCCTGGTGTACGAGTCCCCACAACTACCTGATTAGAGACTCATTATGTCACCTGACGACAGTCCTTTTCTTTGTCAGTGGACCTGTGTTGATGGAATATTCTTCAAGACCGGCACACATCCATAAAGCAACCTTAAATGTAGAGATCAGTGGAATATTTTCCCATTTTGTCACATTTCTCAATTTCTGTTGCAGGCTTTAGATGGGGCACTAATGTAGTATCATGATACTTTTGGCATATTGGCGTAATACTGCAGGAGTGTTCGTGAGCTGTAGGTCTCCTGATGAATGATATAAGGTCTGTATTTGTAATTTGCAAGGAACTGTGATTATTCATGAGACATATACCAGGAACAAGAATCTGTACCAAACTTAAAAAAACGTCCAATACAAAAGTTTGCAGTTTTAAATATATCTGATTGAATTAATGAATCAGTTACGCTAACAGAACAATACTATTTTTATTCTTTTCCTTTATTTTAATGCTTTTCAAAAAAAGGGTTTTTGTCTTAGTGGGCTGCTGTATATTGCAAGATTTCAGGTGGGAACTAAGTCTACCTGTGACTTTCTGGGCAACTTTGAGAACTGGTGTTTCCACTCTGTTTGCGTGCTTAATACTGTGTTGTAATTGTGATCAAAATGATTCTGTAACAGAAAAAGCACCACATTTAAACTGGCTGAATGCCACAGGCTTCCACATCTTAATAGACCTCTCTGCTCATTCCCTTGTAATATTACCTGTCCTCGAGCATGGCTGCATTGGCCGTCATATATTGTAATTATAAGTGTCATCAGCTGTTTGCATGGTGTCTCTGGAGGGAATCTGCAATGTACCACTTCCCCTCCATATCAGAACGAAGACCTCATGCCGTAAAATTAATATCATGCTTACAAATTAATAACCTGTTTTCCCCTAGTGTCCTTATAACAGCAGGGAAAGGCACAAATCTAAAGTTTTGAACGATTTAAAATAAAGCTAAAATACAGGTACAGTATATAATATATGAATTCACCACCCATTTATAATCAGAGGTGCATGGTTTAGGGTTAATGTGCATATCTTCATGAGTTGCAAAGACTTCAGTTTTTGTCTTATCCCTCAGCATTATGTAAATATAGTAAATACAGCTTAACTACAGTAGAAATGTAGAGTTTTGTGTTTTGAAAGTATTGTGTTTTGACAGTGGAGTGCACTCACGGAGTTAACTGTAACTTATAAAACTATTAAGTGCCTTCAGACATTTAGTTTTAAATAAAAAATTGCATGTAATTCTTATACTTATGAAAATAAATAGCAATTACCAATTTAAATATATACATCCATTATTCTTAACACGTACAGCAGTGAGTAACATTTAACACTTGAAGCTTTTTTTTTTCCCTTTTTTCCCCACATTGTTTGGGAATCCTCTGGAAGAGGAATTTACGGTCATTTCGGATGGTGTGTGACTCATGTCACTCTAATGGCTGATCTCGGTGCTCCTCGTTCGTGGTAGTTCATATCTCAGTTGCGATGATATCTTCGAAATGTATGTCTGCACTCTGGACGTCTAAGTCCACCTCTGGCCGGCTCTCCAGTTCTACAGTCAGCTCCCTGAGGACTTTCTCCAGCTCCTGGTTTCTCTGGTGCATTTGCAGGTAGTTGTACTGGAGCTGCTTTTGGTACCGGATGACCTTGTCCTTCTCTCCGTCCCATGTTTGCCTCTCCAGTTGGAAGTTGCTCACCATGTCCTCCTTCTGCTGCCGCTCTTCCCTCAGCTGTTCTTTCAGCTTCTCCAGCGCCCTCTGGAGGGCCTCCACATCCTCACCAATGTCTGGCTGGCTTTTAATTCCACCCCGTCCTGTAGCCAACTCTTTGGCCAGTGCCATGTCCTGTATCATGCCCTGTATGTCTGTCTCCAGCTGTCCCACTTTCCCTCTGAGCAGGTCAGCCTCGTTCTTCTTCCGCTGTAACTCGTTCTTGCACACCTGTGTGAAAGGTCTATGGTCAGAGTCTTGTTTGTGGTAGAGACGTTTCAGATGGGTAAGTGACAGCGGTAATGGGTGTGGAGTTCACTGACAGAGCTGGTTATAGCTGTGGATCAAGCAAACAAGCTTGATTTATTTGTTACAGGTTTGCTTGGCATATAAATGATGCATTCTTGGCGATGACCCTGGTGTGTATAATTAACTGACACTTTCCTAGGCGTTTCTCAAACTTATCTGCTTATGGCGTTTTCTTTAGCGATTTGGCAAAACTCTATAAAATATGTAATGAAAAACCAGTGCACAAATACAGTTTGTACAGAACTTTTTTTTATAGCTCACAAGTAAATTGTGACACTATGATTTTTGTCGTGTTCTCTTCTAGATTGAACAAATGAATACTGGACTTTCCAGAATTGTGATAAACCACTAAAATAAAGCATTGATTAGTACAGTTTAGTAACTTTTTATGTGATAATGAAAACTGAGTAGGTTTTTTTGGTGTTAAAGAAAAGGGGATTTTAACTTTGATATCGATGAATCACATTTTTCTACTCTTAGACAGGATAGCTGGGTGAATAAGGGCTGTGAAGGAAATGTTTTGAATTGCATTTAAAGTGATTGTGACTTGTGCAAATACTCCGCTGCTCAGCTGATATATACCTCCAGATCCACGGTTTTGGAACGGACGGCGTCTTCTTGTTCCTTGATTTTCTGCTCCAGTGCTTCCATCCTTATCTTGGTGTCCTTCAGCGTGGCTTTCAGGCTGACAATTTCATTCAGCTTGTTGCTCACATCTGCCTGGGAATCCTTCAGCTGCTGTTTCAGCAAGGAGATTTCCCCAGACTTCTGGCATACCTGCAAAATTAATATGTTGAATTGTGATTAGGTTTTGCTAGGGTACCGCTTTTCAAATTAAAGCTGCAGCCGAACTGAAATGGATGGGAATAGCATGGGGGCATCGCCTTCTCGTTAAAACGTGGATTATGATGTAATGAGGTCTGCGATTATGATGTAATGAAGTCCGCGATAATGAGGTCCGCTGCTTTACTCACCTCCCACTGCGTTTCCTCGAGAGTCGGAGTCATTTGAGTCTGCTTTGACTCATATGTCCTGAGCTGTACCTCCATTAAGTCCTTCTCTTTGGTCAACTGGGACAAATCCTCCTGCAGCTGCTGCTTCTCCTGCTGGACTTGGAAGACCTGGAGCTGCAGGAGCTGCTGGGCCCTCAGGGCTTTCTGGGAAATCTGCCGAAGCTGGCTGGAGCACCTCTGCTTGAGGCCTTCCATCTCCTCGGTACAGTACCTCTGCTTCTCCTGGAAGAGCTTGCAAGTATCTGCTTCCTTCTCCTCGAAGCTGACCTGCAGCTCCTGGAGCTCATTCTCCCTCTCCAGCAGCCTCTGCTCCAGCAGCTCAATGAGGGACTCGTCCATGGAAATGGGGGACCGCATACAGCCCCCGGCGCTCTCTGAGAACATGTCCTGTTTTTCAGGGGAGGTTCCCTCCCCAGCAGGGTGCGGTGGGGGCTTGCTGCCTGTACTGTTTGTCCCTTTACTCCCCAATGAGGAGCTTAGCTGCTGGGTGTGGCCCAGGCTGTGGGCAGACCCCCCAAGATGGGTCAGTACTCCCACGGCGCTGGGAAAGTTGTCCATATGACTGCTGCCGTTAGTGCTGTGTGTGGGCAAGCTGGACATGGAGTTCCTGCCCGAATCGGAGAGCGTCCCCGAGTTTGCATCCAGCCTCTGCTCGTTTGTGTCCTTGCCTCTGTCCGAGGGGCTGTGCCTCTTGTTGGCCATGTGACATACGTTGTGGCTTTCTGAAGCAGAGCTGCTCCTGGGGATGACGGGCTTGAAGGCTGTTGGTCGTATCAGGCTCTTCTCGATGCCCTGCGTAACACCAAGCAGATTAACACACGTCAGCCATATTGGGAGGAATCTTTCTTAATTTCCTCTCTTGGTTTATTTGATGGCTAGCTTTTTTCTTGCTGACCACATCATTCCATAGCATCCCAAGGCACGTTCAATGGCAGGACATGCAAATCTGTATGCTAAGTGTTCCTGAAATTATTCTAATCAGCATTGACTATGTAGCCAAAACAATAAGTTTTCAAAACAATAAATCCCAGTAGTAGAAAACCTATTTACCTTAGTATATAATGGTATCACAAAAATATTTGAATTGGGGAAAAGATGGAAACATTCCTTTGTTTGGCATTTTTCACAAGCACATGTACATTGGAATACTTCTCTCCACACAGGGGGGTCACGGCGCAGGGTCAGCCAGCGTGCAGCACTCCGGGGGCTGAAGGCTAAGGGCCTTGCTCAAGGGCCCATGGACATGTGACTGTTCTGCCAAGACTGGGGCTGGAAGTCACGACCTGATCACAGGCACAGAGGCTTAGCCCGCTGAACCACACACCACTTCCTGTTTAAAACGCTGATTCGAAAACAAAAACCAGGGTTCACTGTCGTGTCATTTTAAACATCTGGGCTGGGATCGTATTTGGCTAACTGGCCAAGTGGAAGTCCTGCTTTAAGCCTGTAACTGCCAAAATGGCCCCTAAGTTTAGTGAATACCAGGCTGGAACCCCCCCCCCCCCCCCCCTTGCGGAGGTGGACGACACTGCTGTTTCGTATTAATAATCGCCTTTGTAGGCTTGCTGACTTAGCATTCTTGTTCAATGACTTCATGCCCCAAAACTGGGATGCCTTCCATAGTCGGAGGGTCGGGCTTCACTGGGATATAATGAGCCGTTGAAGGAGGAAGCTTTGTAAAAGCATGACCCTGGGAAGGGATTTAATCAATCTAGAGATCAAGGCATTCTTATGATAAGTCTTAAGTCCTAAATGAGGTTGGCTGAACCACGTCAGTCTTTCAGAGTTTCAGGCCAAAGTACAGATCTCTTGCAGTTGCCCCCAGATTGTGAAGTGCAGCAGCTCTCAGTATCTGAAGGTACCATGACTCCCCAAGATTGTCCCAAGTTTGTTTTATATAAAAATAAAGGGATTAAAAACAGTAGATGTAGTTGTAGGGCAAAAATCCTACTTTTTGCCCTACAACAAGCGATGAAATACTTTTGAATTAATTCACCTACAAATCTTGGAAGCTATGATGTTCTTATCTACATAGTAATCAAAAAATGTATACTTGAAGAAGACCACCAATACATTGGAAAATAATTATAGCCTAGAAAACTAACATGGAACTCTGGTAAAAATGGCAGTACAACAACGTGTGTGTGTGTGTGTGTGTCCATATTAGACTCCCATATTCCAGATATTTGCATCTTCTCTAACTGCCTGGTCAGTATAGGACAGTGGGGAACCTGGGGTCCAGGGAGGGCAGGATACCAGGAAGGGGACACCGCCACCCATTCACCTGTGACGTCTACGTGTTTTGGACTGCTGGCACAGACATGGAGAGAACACTGACAATTCACACATGCAAATGTGAGGATGGGATTTAAACCAAGACGGACATGTGAGGCTCCCCACTGAACCACTCCTCTTCCTTGCTCCAAATGAAATGTAAGGCATTAATGTCCTCACATGGCATTTAGTTTCCAGAAAATGAGCACTGCCTTCTGCCTTTCTCACTGCTTGCTGTATTTCATGGCCTTGCAGCTTTGTGGTGTGTTACGCAAGCTCACCTTGTCCAGTTTGCCAGACATGGGCACCAGTTGGGGAGGGGTGCAGCTGCTAGCTTCCATATCTGCTGGCCCTTCTAATTGTTCCTCCATTTGCAGTTGTCTTTGGTGGGGAGTCCGGGGCTTCTGGCTCACCTTGATGTACAAGAAGTCCTCGTTCTTCTCTGATGGGTGACTGGCCTTACTGGGATTGCTGGTGGGCTCGTGGGAGAAGCCATAGCGCAGCAAGCCGTCCAGGTTGCGAGCCGCCCTCTTCGGCTGAGAGGTCCTCTTGGGTTTGTACTCTGTGGCGCGACAGTGTTTGGTGTGGAAGCTGTGACCTGAGATCAGACTGCTGACGCTTCCCATGGCTTCCTGCGCCTTCGTGAGCGTGAAGCTGAGGCAGGCTTGGCGCTAACACACGCTGATGGAGTTGACGTGGGATCCGTCTTTGTTGGATTCATAGCCCCTGGAAGAAATCCTCACTTCTTCCATCTGTAAAATCTGAAAGGGAAATGCGACAGCAGTGTTGTGATCTTCAAATGTGTAATATAACATGAGTACAGCTTTAGGGTAATGGGGACACTATGATGAAACTTTATGAATTACTTCGTGATTTATTAACAGCACGCAAACACTAGTGGTGTGAATTGTAAAAGATTAAAAAAATAAAAAATTTAGAATAAGGTCTAGAAGCTCAATGCCAGAAACCTATTTTTCAACATGCTTTGCCCCCCCCCCCCCTCCCAGAGTAGCTCTTAATTTGATCCATACTATATATTTTTATTATATTTTCATGTAACACATTATTATATTGAATAATAAAAGAAATCTATCAGTTCTCTTGAAGAGTTGAACAAGCACAGAAGTGCCCCTTTGGGTTTTCTTGCATATGCCTAGTTGTAATGTGTTCAAAATAACACATGCATACAATGGCCTCTGATTGTGCCATCTGCAATGCAATTATGAAACTTCTCTCTCGGTCTCCAGATGTTTAACGTATATGTTAAAAAAAGCAAACACATAAAAGATAAAGATACAAAGATAAGGAGTGGCGTGGAGGGAACGTAGTCCAATACAGGAAGTACTTTGGAGAAACTGATTAAAAAAAAAAAAAAGTCAGTACATTAACCGTTGAGCACTGACCTGGGTAGTGGTTGTGTATATAAACTAAAGGTCATTTGGAAATGTGCCCCTGCACTGATAAATACACACAAATGTAATTGGAGAGCTGGAGCAGATTTTAGAGCGCGACTCGTATTTGACTTGGATTCTAAAGATGATAGCAGTTCCTTACTTACTCGACATTCTACTCATACTGTAATTTTAGCACATTTAGCGCTTTCGCACATCTTCAGTTTGCACAAATGCACAATTAATATTGCTCGACATCTGCACATTACACTTATTTATTTACATTTTTTTCTATTATATTGTACCTTGGCATTTTGTGTGGACCGCAAAGAAAGAATTTCATTGCACAGAAAAATGTACTTTTTTTTGCTACCTTGAAATAGACTTTGAAAGGCTTTGGCCTTTGGACCATTTGAGAATTTTTTTTAATATAAAAATACAGGTTCATTCAATCTCTCTAGAGTGAAAAGATTACATACCATTTTTCAGCAATTTCATGTACAGTAAGGACAGATCTGTGTTGAACTGCCATTAAGCAAAATAAAATTCTTAGTTTAGTTCTATTCAACAAGGTTTGGAGAATCTAAGTTATGTTTTATGGTGGGTTCTTAAGTGTGTTTTTTGGGATTTATGATTTAACTGGAATTTGAAATTTTATACTATTAAACTAAAAAGTGTTGGTGTCATTGTCAATTCACAGAAAAAAATAAGATGTGAAGATTCTAAAGCATTGTACTTTTACATGAAATGTATTTTCACAAGAGGCTCCATGCCTGAAATATGTCTGTCCCTGTGGGTAGGCCGACATTTACTTTCTTTATAATACTTTTTATCGCTTCAGTCAAAGCTTTGGCCCGTTTCTGATTCATTTACTTTGTGCAAATAAGCAGAGGGGTATCATCCTCTTTGGGTCTGATGAATGAGGCCACGCTGAAGGCGGCGGGCTGAGAAACAGCATGGTCCTCCACGTCATTTCATATCAGCGCTTTGCCACACTTTGGATTAAGTCATCATTCAAGTGCTGCTTTTTTTTTTGTTGTTTTTTTTTTAGCTTTTCTGTGAACATCATTGCAAGGCATGTATTTATTATAGTTCAAAGTAGTCTTTGTAGACTCAATCTTCCACAAATTAAATGATAACAGCAGGGTGGACAGCAGGTGCAGATGAAAAGAGTGGCGCTGCTCCTGTCCGGGTTTTTCGCATGACCTGTGCAAATCTACAGATTAATGACTGTAAGATTAGGCTGCTTTTCCTTTTGCAAGATAAGGAGCTCATTTAGTCAGGCCGCGATGGCACTTTGTTTGGCAGACAATAACACGGCTGTGATGGAAAGTCTGAGACCTCTGTCCCCTGTCTGGCCAGGCTCCGTTACAGCTGCCTCTGAGGAATAGCTATCAGTGAAATGTACAGATCTCCACAGTGCTAGTTAAGTGGCCTTCGCTAACCTATAGTGCCGCCGGCTTTCTGATAACTAGCAGGGCTGGCTGTCAACCTTTGGCAGTTTCACGCACAAGATCACCTACCAACCAAACATTTGTAGTTATGCTGAAATATTTTTATGTACTATATAGTATAATGCACGCACATGATGCTGAAGTAGACAAACATCGATGCATTTTACGAGTTATAAGTGACAGGCCAGTCAGTGATTTGTTCCAAACCTAACTAATCCTGTAATGTTATATCATGTGTCAATACTTCTGTGCCCTTTGCATTATTTTGAATTAACTCTGATGTACTTTAGTTTACAGACTGTGTCTGTTTGTCTGTCTAGGACTTTTTTTTTTTTTTGGGTCCTGGACTTTTTCTTACTCTGAAAGGCAATATTACGGAAAGCATAAAAATAATACAAATTCAACTTACTGCTACAGCAAAATATCCCTTAGGCCCGCAACGGCAGATGAATCCTGTCCCCTTCCATGGATGCTGAGACGTGTCCCTGAGTGGAGCAGCCAGAGAATGCATCAAGCCACCAGCAGCCCCCCGAATAGCGTCCGGAGGGCTGGACTGCTCTCATTTACGGCCCCTCATTTTTGCATAACTGACATGTAAATGTTGCCCCCTCCCCCCATCCTGGGGAAATGGAGCGTACGGCATACGCTTCTTTACACAGACGTGTGCCGCTAAAGTGATTAACTCCCATTTCGGACAATGGGCTCTCTTCACTGACTGCCTCCATCCGTCAGTCTCTGGATTGGCTCTTGTGTTAACCCCTCCCCATAGAAGGATCTGTACCCCTGCTAAACAAACAAAAAGAAGCCCCCTCTTTGTTATCCATGAACCCTTTTCTGTCCCGCTGCTGGTTTTTATTCATTTATGCTTTTTAAAAATAAATGTATTTACACAATTATCTTGTTATCCAGCAAATAATGAACATGATGTTATTTTTGGGGGAAAAGCTAAAAAAAAGTAGTAGATCGTAAAGAATTACATAATATTGTTCTTATATTAAATCATTTGCTGCTAGCTATAAGAGGCAAGAAAGTATTTGTTGCAAAAGTAGCTAAAGATGTAACGATTGGCCCTGCCTTTCGAATGAGTGTAGAAAGGTTCTGTATTTTTAATGTGCCATTTTATTTTTGTAGCTCGTGTGTTTTAACGTGGCCTTGAGGCTGTTCACCGTCTTCCAGGGCCCTTTCTGCTGGGTAAAACGTTCAGTCTTCTTAATCTATAAGTGGTCCCTGCTCCAAGCTGGTTGAAGACTGATACGAAAATTAATAATTTATTAATTTAGTTTTCAAACCGAAGGTTCAGTGTTTCTGTGGTCTGATTAATATTAATGCTGTAGGATTAGCATCAGGAATGCTGAACTTAATTTAGAAGACACAAAGTACCCACAACTCCATGTCTACCACCTCAGAGATAACTGCACAGTATTGATGGTTATATAACTCAGTTAAGTATAAACGCTTGATATTTTTTCCTGCACCACGCGCGGTAGTTTAATGGGGAGTGTGAACATGCCTCACAGTAATGGTTCTGTGATTTCAAATATCTCTTCAGCGAATTTGGCTGGATTTATGAATGTAGCCAGGTCTTTTAAAACAGTACAGTACAGTTAAACTTATGTAGACCTGTCACATGTCCCATAATTTACAGTACCAATTAGAAGAGATGTTTTTCTTATTTTGTTTATATGTATATGAATACCAAATGTGTAAAATAAATGCTATTTAATAGGCCTAATCTTGCATATGGTGCTTAAATGTGTAACATTAATACCGCATTTTATACTGTTATTTTCTTAATAGTTGTAAACTTTAAATACAGTACCAGCGAAGCCCGTCGAGCACATCCTTTGTGAGAACAGAGCACTCTGGGTGCTAAATGGCCTGGTACAAAGAGCCACTATAGTGCAGCCCCCCCCCCCCCCCCCCCCCCCCCCCCCGCCGCCCCCCCCCCCCCCCCCCCCCCCCCCCCCCCCCCCCCCCCCCAGCACAGCGCATCCTCCCCAAAGCTCAGTGCAAATTTTAGAGATACTGGACAGGGAAAGGCATTTATCAGCATCCCTCTCGAGGGATCGCTACTTGGGTTTCATCCACTAAAACCTAAACAAATAAAATAATAATAATAATGACAAAAACTACCCTTAACAGAGAGTGACTGTTATTTCTTGTAATATTGTTATTGACGTTATTGGTCAACTATGGTTCTTACAGATGCATTAACACATGTTGTGCTGTGTTATTTTTGATTTTGAATTGTATGATATAGACTGCTGTGTCTGGCACTGTTCCTTTTTACCACAATGCTGTGGTCGCTGACTCAGCACCTTAGGGGGGGGGAAAGAAGACCCCCAACTCTAGGATAATTCCCTTCGGAATGTCTGGTGAAGCCTACTGTAAGAAACAGGGGACATGACACCGGTAATATGGGAGGGGACTTAGTTTGTCACCTTGCTGATGTAAGGTGCAGTGCCTGTAGTTTTTCATCAAACTTTTTTTGCGCTTGGGTAGTCTTTGGGGGCCGTCTGCAGAAAAATTCTGGGTTACTCAGCCGGTTTTAACTTAATACGATGTACTCTGAAGAATACTTTGAGTGCACGTAATAATAACAGAATGCGCTGTATTGATTTTGGGAAGCTTATTGTAAGTGCTTAGCTAAGAAATCAATGTGTAAACAGTCAATTCCCAATGAGGCGGACTCCAGTGCCGCTGTTAGGAAGGGAATAAATTAACGGATGTGACTCAAAAGTTCAGACTGCATCTCTGCTGGGAAATACACTGCAGATGCTACAAGGAATATAATCTTCTAAATAATAAATGCCATTTTAAGTGGGGCATAATTCCCCATGTTGCCTCCAGAAGACCTTTAGCTATATTTATCTGAAGGGCAGAAAATGGACATGACAATGATGTAAGGCCAGGCAAGTGTAAGACAGCGTTTCATTGCTGGATACTGATGTTCCAGGGTAATAATGAAGTGCCCGTTTACATTTGTATGTTTTACAAGGAGGCACTTGGATGATTGTGTGCTGACATTAGCATAAGGAGCAGCTGGCCTGGACGAGGGGAGCCCATTGGACTGAACTGCATGTCAAACACTTTCATGTCAATGGGAACCAGGAAGAAGTGCAGTGATTCAGAGAGGAGTCCAAGTACAAGAAGAGGTGGAAGTCGCCCTTTATACTATGTGTAAAATACACACACTCAAACCTGCTTATCAGTCTGAGATGTGCATATGTTTTCTGTGGAAAACAATCTGTAGATGTTAATAAGGGAGCTTTTAAAGGTCCCTGCATTGACTATAAGTGCACTGAGGCTCAGTGCTTGATATACTACATGTTATTGATTGTGTTGTTATTATAGGTCTTGCAGATCTCCGTGCTTAACCCTAACCTGGGGGTGACTTGACCTCTTCTGGGGCTGTCAGTGAGTGTGTAGCGTTCAGCCGGTTCTGCCCAAAGTGTTCCGTCATGCTAGTCTCCTGGGTCATTCTCATATGTTTTGTTTTGGTCTGATGAATGTTTATTGATGGAGTGACATCTTGAGTTTCAGTCAAACAAAGCTCAAGTGGTCTTATGCAATGATATCCCGGCCAAAGAAACTTTCCTAATAGACATTACCATGTAGTATCTGCAGATCGGTCTGGGAAACCTAGCTGGTGTAACACAGTGTGTAGGTGGTGTTACAAGTGAAGCCCTTTTTTATCAGAGTTATTTTTTAACACTAAGAATTCCTAGCTCTTAAAACCTTGCACAAACCCAAAATACCTCGTAAGAGTTATGATAAATGAACAACTTCATAATTTCCCTTTAAAGCAATGATCAGAATGAAATATGATTCTAACCCGAAATGCTAACATTACTACAAGTATTCATTATTCCCTCCTGTTATTTGTTCTTTGACCCGTCCTGTATTTTTGTTCTCTGTCAGCGATTCACTGGTGCAATTTGTGTAATTCTGCATCTTGGAAGGCCCCTGGTGTGTCCCCGTGCCGCTTTCCTTTGGCTTATTTACAAAACAAATAGCACACTAAAAGGAAAACAAACTACCTCCAGTGACCAGCAGAAAGTATACTTTTGGAGGCTGGTCAGGGCCGTGTGGGCGGGGCCCAAAGGGCAGGCTATGATGTAGGTGGGGCCTGTATCTGGCAGCGAGCGGCTGTTCTCTGCATTTACGGCAGTCGCCAGAGAGCTTGCTGTGTCTGTAGTGCGGGGCAGTGCCCCATCTCTGTGTCCACCTGTCCTTTCTGACAGCTCTTAACCTAACATGATACTCTCACTTTCGACTGTCATTGCTCTGTTCTGGCCATCTCTCATTTTGCATCCTTCTGACTTGAATAGATACATATACAGTCTTCATTTTATTGCTTACATGTTATTTGCTGTTTTGTATTTTGTTTTTCTTATTGGGTCTTTTAAAGCACAGTCTAAGGAGCAGGTGGTAAATAACTTAAGTAACGAACTTTAATTTTCATTTACCTCGGTAATCTGCCAAACTCTTGCTTTCGTGGCTGTGTGTGGACCAGCTTTTAAAAGCTTGATTGTCCTTTCATCTTTTCGCAGTCATTCTTAAAAGTCCCTTTTGTCCTTCCCACTTACGCTGGCATTAACAGACGGGAAAGCATATTTGCATTACTCGTCCCAGCCTCAAACGGAGAGGGCTGCTTTTTTCTGGTTGTCGTGCAAAGGGTACACATTCCGACTCTGGCATGTACAGAAGGTGCCTCTTCTATTAACACTTGAGTTCATAGAAATAAGTGGTGAATTTTCTCTGTGTGGGTGGATTGATTATTGCGAGCCCTCGATGGAAGCAGGGGCATGTGCTTTTAAGGCTAGATTCCTGGACTCCCGATCCAGATAATGGTGGAATTTCATCTTGGATTACAAATTGCTGGTGCACCTCTCAGCGAGGCTTTTTTTAATGATAGCAAAAAGCCAGCCATGAAAAGCTGCCATTACCTGAGCTCCATGATGCGGAAATAAATAGGAATAGCAGGTGTTTATCAATTTTTAAAGCGACGGGTACAGCCGTGTGAGCAAAAACAAAGGTCAGCGGAGTGTTTACAAACATAAAAGCGATTTATAGCTGCCGTCTGTGAATTTTATATGCATTTCATTGTGAAGCCCCGTCAATGTGTCTTGTTGTAAGTTTAATACATAATCAAGTTTAATGGTCTATTACTGCATTTTTAGAAGATAAACTTGGATCACAGTGTTACTCTCTTTATTGTGGGACAAGCCATGGTCCTCTGAGAGAGAGAGTTCTGAACCAGACCAAGGACAAATCTGAGTTTCTTATGGCGCAGTCTTCTTATGTAACCTCCTGCTTCTTATGTAATATGATGGACCTCACTGAAGTGCTGCTTTGGATTTGAGCAAAGAGCAAACAGCCCAAGGCCTTGATGTTTTCTAGCTCAGGTGGGGGGCTTTTCAGATATGAGTGACACCCCGTTATGTCATCCTCGTTTGCACGAGCGGGTCCTTCACGTACGTGT